GTCACCTTTACTCTTGGTCGTTTTTTAAGTGTTTATTTGGTTTTGGTTCAGTTGGAAAGCGCCGAACCTTGTTGACTAGTTTGCATATCAAACTCATGAATCAATGTCTGTATTTAAAATCTTATTACGTGGTTGTATGAGTTACAAATAGAATTAGTTTTATGTATAGTATTATAAATAATAAATATATAAATAATAAATAATCATAAAAATTGTTCTGAAATTGGTTTCTGGCGTAAAATTGATTATGCTGTTCTTAATTCTTCATTTTCTTGATGATATATAGTTTATATTTTTAACCATAACTAGCGCCTGACCACACCCCAGAAAACCATATTTTAATATAATATATAGAGTATATAGATAGTATATATATAGGACACATCTTGTGAACATTTTGTGTTAATCTACTTCATAGACTTTGCTGCTCTCCCCGCCATCCCACTACATAACACTCTTACTGAATTAATTATTTAAACAGTTACTTAAATTTATTTATTAAATTAATAACAATAAATTTATTAATAATAATCTAGATTAAATTAAGTTTCGAAAGATAATTCTAATAATTTTATAATGCCACCTCTAACACCCAACTTTATTATATGCCACGCATCCAGCTTATGGTATGGTATTTATGCTTTCGAACCCAATATTAGGTATTCTAAACACTAAAATATTTTTTATAGTTCATGTAAGCAGTATTTAAATTTAATAAAAAATTTAATAAAATTAATTAAACTTTCACAACAAATTAACAAAACACCAGAAAAATGTGCGAACATAAAAGTCAATTACGGTTTTGTGTCAGTTGGTTAAGGTACGCTGACTCTGAGCTTCAAATTTGGTAGGACGCGAGTTCGATTTCTGGTACTTGCAGTCTCAAAACATTATTTACAAATAATTAAATATAAGAAATAATTTCAAGACCACTAATGATGGGTATTAGGCAATACTCAAAACAGCTGTATGGTCAGCGAAAAATTCAAATAATTAAAATAATATAAAAATAATGTTTGTTGTTGTAGTTTACTACTTTTCGAAAAATCTCTTTATAAAAAATTTATTTAGTTAAAAATTGTATATATATTACATTGAAAGTAAAAATATGGATCATAATAGAAACAATATAAAAAACTAAATAATTTTTTGCAAATATTATTTTATTTCCATTGTCATTAGTTTTCTGATGATGACTTTAGACTTAAGTTGAAGTATCGGTGAAATAAAAATTATTGTAAAATAAATCGTGTTTTTTTTCTTTATTAATTTGAACCAATTAGTCTACAAAAACACTTTACTAAATTTTATTTCCGAAATTTTGTTAAAAATTGGTTTTTGTTTTCAACTTCTTTTGTAACTTCTACTTCTAATTTTTGAGTACATATATTCAATACATATATTCATATTTCATACTCAAGACCTCATATTCATGTTCAAGAAGTCAAAATACGCAAATATATGTCTTATTAACAAAATCTGCTATAAAAATAGTTCTGTACAGTACCTAGTTCATATGAGAGTAGAATAAGCCATCAACCTATTTGATATACTCATATTTACTCATACTCATATATACTAGTATTTTCAAAACAAATCACAACTTACAGTTCGATAAGTAACTCCTTGGAAAATCATGACGCAGCAGCTCCTTTGCTAGCTGGCATCTAGTAAGCATTTTCGCATCTACACTTTTATATGTCGAAAAACACAGTACTAAAAAAATTATAGAAGTCAAGAATTTGTTCTGTAACTTCATTGCTTTGCTTTATGAGTTCGTGATTTATGAGTTTTTTTTATTGAAATTTATTAATATTTTAAAGGAATATTAATATTTAAAAAAATTTTTTGCGTTTCATTAAAAACAATTTTAACTTATCAACTTAAAATAAATTTCGCGTTCACTTTAAATATATAAATATTAAATACAATTTTAAACCCAGGATATGCGCTAGGATAACAGCAGTTAGTTGACCCCTGTAAGCTTCGTTTATCTCTCCGTTCTCCAGGCACAACCCGTTAGTCTAAAATTTTTAAAGTTCTGCGTGCTAAATTTAAAATAATACTAGATGCGTGAGACTACATCTGAGGCTTTTAAAGCCTCGCATTGTTAATTTTCATATATTTCTTAAGAAAATTTAAGATCACAAGACGCATTCACATTACTTTTAATTTATTTTTATTTTTTTTATTATTATTTATTATTTTTTTTACAAACATTTTTATGCTCTTGTGCAGTAAGATTTCGCAATTGTCACTTGATATTAAGCTTAAATCACATCGTCATCAATGGTACACCACATGATGATACTCATATATTTTTATGATCAAAACAGAAGAGCAGTAATAATGTTTGTATTGAAAAGAATATTTAATGGCATGTGGACTTAATTTAAAAACAAATTTGTGGCATTATCTGGTTATATATGTTGATTAATTTGCAGTTTTGTAGTGGGCACTCCATTGAAAATATTTCCATGGAAAGTATGTAACAGTCATGAATGATTATCATTGGGTTAAATAAAATAAACTTAAAACTCAACAGTGTCTACATATAAAAATAATATAAACCTAATCAATTAAAAATATAATTATAGTTTAAGTAGAAGGTCAGGTCAAAGTACTCACAACGATTCCCATCAAATCAAAAAAATATGCGAAACTAAAAACTAAAACAGATCAAAAAATATTTAATTTGTTTATAAAAAATTGGTTAAATATGTTGTATTATTGTCAAACAGTTGAAATACTGGACAATTACACTGTCTTTAATAATAATATGGTTATATCTGGGAGCCCACATCACTATCGACAACTATCTGTTCGAAGTTGTGAAAGACTTGTTTTGTTTTAACACTAAAAATAATATCAGAGTCGAGATTCAATGAAGAATCTCTCGAAGTCAATAGATTTTACTTCGGGCAATTGAGAAGAAAGTCCTGAACAAACAAAAGTCACAAAAATCATTATTGTCCCGATGTATAATGTAGAAGCTTGGACAATAACCAATAGTGAAGAGAAAGCAAAAAGACCTTTGAGAGGAAAGTTATTTAGAAGAGCTAGGGTCCCTTGCGCAGTGGCAACGAGTATCGAATTATATGGAACAATTAGCTGTACAAGCTTTACCGCAATATTGACATAGTTAAGTGCATAAAAATGGAAGCGAATGGAAAAAAATGCTTTCGCTAAGAAGATGTTTGAAGCAGTAACCGCTAGTGGAAAATGCGGTAGAGCTCGTCCGTATCTTTTCTGGAAAAACAGGTGACCAACAATACTATCAACTGGCCATAGCAAGCCACTGATCAGAATGAACGCACAAGTTTTTAAATAAGCAGTAACAGAAACAACTTTTAAACCACATTTTATCAGATATAAGAAATATCCTTAGTAATTTATTTGAATAACTTAATAATTTATCTGACAATATGATATATGACAAAGTATTCTTTCAGTGATAAATCATGTGTTGATGAATATAGCTCTATTCTTGGAGATAAAATATTCGTTAAGGTCTACCTTTAATAACTCAATAATTTCTCTGATAATATAACATATCGCATTGTTTCGTTGGAACTTAAAGCCATGCAGAGTATATTCACCCACACATGGAAAAAGAAATCATTGTTCATGGCTTTTTCCATGTAAGACAAACTTTTCACAGAAATTTTTCTATAAGTACTGTATTTCTTTATAAAATAGACACCAAATCGATCAGAAACAGAAGAATACTGTAATCAACACTTCAATATTGCTAGCAAACTGGCTTTATCATTAGCAAAGAAGGATGCATGTACTCCCTTAATTGGTCCAGAGCTATTCTATGGGTAACAAATAGCTTCACAAATAACTTATTATGTGAACGGGAAAAACAAAGTCTACTTGAACACTGAAGAGCTCAAATAGGCATGCGGCAGTCAAGAAGATTCATTGATCCTGAACACATCAAAGTTGACGCTATCCTGAACCTTAGCGGAAACGATATTAAAATCTACATTGTAGAATCAATTACCACATGAAGAATTTAGGTGCGGTAGAAGGTGATACCTGTCGACTCTGTCTTGAGGAGAAGGTAACATCAAAACATGTTCTATGCAACTGCCCAGTGGCGGCTAGGCGTACCTACCTTGGAAGCTAAGTCCCAAATCAAATAGGTAAAATCAAGCCCATAGCAATTACGAGATTTATAAATAGTCTAGAATTGTCTTAGTTGGGACTTAGGCGCATAATAGATCTTTTAGGTCGGGGTGCATTCATACCCTAATATTTAATAATAATAGATAATATAGCTAAAACCTGAAGCGATAACAAAGGTTATATACAGTTTCTTCTAAAATTTGAACTTTTTGAACAAATATGCGCGCTTTATAAATAACTATGTAGAGTGAAGTTTCATAAAATATATATTAACAGGGCTATATAACCTGCTATATATGTGTATCTTCTACTAAAATTTAAATCTGATTTTAAATCCGATTCAAATTTGATTTTCCTATACAGATTTAAAGTATGCTCAGTTAAATTTAAGAAAGAATTCATTTAAGATTTATTTTTAAAAAATTTTAGCTTAATTAAGTAAACTTTCGCTTTCGCGCCTCTTCAACATTCATTCATTTTTTATAGTCACCCCAGTTACACATGTTCACACCCGTAATAAATCTTTTCACACAAATGAAATAACGCGCTTAATTGGCAAATTGGCTTGTGTCTAACAATATAATAAAAACTTTATTGAATTGAAAAAAAAAAAAAATATTTGAAGAAAATAAATCTTGACCCAAAAAAAGTTGCAACTCTTCCCAAGACGCAACGATTATTGAGCGCATATCAGTGTTTATCTCTAAATTTATGCAATTTCTTGTGTAAATTTGCATCTGCTATCACCACGTTCTTTATGGCTCTATTAGGGTTAAACGTATTAAATTAAATAAAAATTACTGTAAATTTCCATAAACTAATTTTATTGTTTACTTCTTTTCTATTTTAGTATGAGGCTTTTGCAACTATGTTTAGTTTGGTTGATGATATCTATCGTAACATCGAATGATCTAAAGGATCTGCTCGAAGATAGCATAACACCACGGTCCACTACTACCTATACTTCAACATTAACACACACCACACCAAGAACATTAATAATGAATAAATCATCAGGAAATATGTTAGGTACTACCAAAACTACAAATCTTGCCATGTTAACAGAAAGTGGTAGTAATAAATTAAACCCTGATCCTTTAGTACCACATCCTCCACCAGCCATTAAAACGAATTTGAAATATTTTAATAAAAGCTCACCAAAGAAACGCAAAGCTGAAGAAGTTTCATCGATACCGATAGGTGATGATAATACTGAATGGAAATGTCCAAACATAACGGGTTCTCGTAGCTTAGAATGCGGTTGTGATTTACCGCATACATTACGCTGCAACGGTGACCTACATGGCTTAACAGTAAGTATTTTTAATTTAAAAAAAATTTATTGATAATATATATATACATAACATAGGTACTTGCTGAAAACTTACGTGTTTCTCCATATTCCGTTTCTCTCCTGGATTGTTCCCTACGCAATGTTACGTTTTTGAGCGATGCCAAAATATTTGAGGGAGTTTCACTGCACGGTTTAGTGATTTCATCAGGAGAAATTAAACGTGTACATAAATATGCTTTCTTGGGCATCAAAGGACCCTTACAAGCTTTAGGTAAATAAATAAAAATATAATTTTTATATTTCTTACAATAAAATTAATACCATATGTTAGGTTTACCAAGTAATGCCTTATTAAGCGTACCTTGGAGTTCGATTTCAACACTTACAGCTCTAGAGCGTTTAGACTTATCCACTAATAGAATCAAAGCACTTGGTACCTCAGATTTTGCTGGTCTTATTAATCTTGTTTATCTTGAATTAAGTAACAATCAAATTACAAGCATATCCCAAAGAACATTTTCAAATTTGGCAAAATTGGAAGTACTCAAATTAGGTGGCAACCGATTAGGTGATTTTCCCACAAGTCTGAAAGCATTAACTCAATGCTTTAATTTAAGGTAATTTTTAATATATTTCCCTTATTTTAGTTTATTTTATTCTGAATATAATTTTTGTTCTGCTTCTTTTTTAATAGGGAATTGGACTTAACTGCCAATAATTTAAATGGACCACTCTCCAGCACAACAATACCTGGTTTACGTAATTTAGAAATACTTAATTTAAATCGTAATCTTATAAAGAGCATACAAAATAAAGCACTACAGAATTTTTCACGGCTTACTAGCTTATATCTACGTCACAACCAAATTGATGTATTACAGGATCATGCCTTCTATGGCTTAGGTTCTTTACAGAATTTGGACTTGAGTTATAATGGTATTGTAGCCGTTTCAAGCGCTTCTCTACAACACTTAACGCGCCTAACTACGCTGGACCTTACACATAACTTTTTAAGAGCACTTACATCCGATCTTATAACACCGTTACCATCTTTATCAGAATTACGTTTGGCTGGCAATGATATATCTATTGTTGCTAAAAATGCTATGGATGGTGCACTTGAATTAAAAAGTCTTTCACTACAAGACAATCCACTTTCGTGTGATTGCACTATACGTCCTTTTGCCGAATGGTTGCAGAGTGCAAAAATACAAGCACAAGATCTGATAAGCCCCACTTGTGTAACTCCGCCACGATTGGAAGGTGCACCATTAATACAAGTGCCTATTGAATCGTTAAATTGTGATATGGATAATTTGGAAAAGGATAATGCAATAATTATCGAACAACTGGAGGCACTCAGCAAGCAAAACAATTCAACTCATATTAAAGACTTGTCAGAAGAAGTAAGAATTGATTGCGTGTTTTGTAAAAAATTTATAAAAATTATTATAAAATTTAATTAGTTTATTGCAATATGGTTAAAATATTAATCTTTCTTAAAATAGTCTTAAATATATAATTGATTCTGAATTTAGCTTAGGTTAGTAGACCTTAACGAGTAGACTTCTTGTATTTTAACGTGACTTTAACTGAATGAAATGGATACCTTCTGTCTGAAGAAGGTCGAAATGTGTTTTGTAGAGAATTAATGACGCGGTCAATAATTTCTGCCACATCAACCTCCTTTTGATCCCGAAAAATGCCATATAATCCCACAGAATATGAGGCTAATAGATGGTATTAATATAAATTATTATTTTGGTCTCATTGCTTTTATATTTTTTTTTTACCAGCAAGAGACAGATTTTTTATTCTAGATTTTTTTTTGTAAATTACCTAATAAAATTTAAATATTGTAATTCATCAAAATCCCAAAAGATTTGTACAACACTACATATTGTTATTAGTACTAATAGTATGTAACACTACGATCCTAAGGACTATTTTGCTATAATAAAGATAACACCTTTATGTTTTTCCCATTTTGGATCGTTGTTTCGCGATTTTCTGCTTTAAACGCACTAATATGGCCATATAGTCATAATCGCTATTAATAGTCTGACCTTTTTCAAGGTAGTAGATAAACGATGTTCCACACGCATTCTTACCCGCTGACTGTTGCATTTAAAGTCATTTTTGGTCGCTTTGGGCGAGGTTCGACGGCCGCTGCCCACATTATTTTAATATGGATTGTATTAATAGGTGTTCCTTTTACTTTTTTCTTTTTGATGCGCGCGCTCCAATTGAACCTATTGTTCAGTATCAGACCTAGATATATGAATTTTAAAACATATTAACATAAATATCCCAAGAAAGTCTTAAGGGATTTAATACTTTAACAGCAGTTTTAGTTGACGTCACCAGCGTTCAATATGAATTTTTTTTTATTGTATGAATAAGTTCAGAAATGACAGAAATGTTTATTTTATAAAGCATACATTAAACAATAAATAATCATTTTCAAAGACTACTGAAGTTGAATAATACCTAGCAATAACTAAAACGGCTATATGGCTATATTTTTACAATTTATTACTATAACTTTCTATTTAACAGATAATATTTATGCTTATATATTTATTAGTAAAATAATACACAGAACACTCATATAAAATATATTAACTTCTTAGATCATACTGCACGAATTGCATTATTCTGCTGACTACGGTTTAATTTTGACCTGGATTTTAAACCTGAATAAAAATGATTATATGTGCGATGCTATTTTCGTTTACAAGGAAGAGAATATCAATGAAATTTTAATTGACAACTCTCCGGTAAGTCTATAAAATATCTGTCTTATATATCTCCAGACCTATAAAAATACTCTTCTTGTAGATACATTGTGAAAGTAAAATAATCAATGGACAAAATACAGTAAGTGTAATTGTACCAGATAGCTCATCTCTACAAATTGGTGAAAGGTAAGCGATAAATTAATATAAATTGAATTTCAAATCTTAATTTATATTATATACTTTCAGTTATCGCTTTTGTTTAGTTATGGTACAAGAAAATAATCCAAAAGCTGATCTTAATGTTGGTTGTTCAAATATCACAGCACTGCAATTAAGCAGTCCTGGTTCTGTGCCAGATGTGCGCAAATATCAACGACGACCATATTATACTGATATGAATAATTACGATAACGGTATTATGCAAAATGATGAATCGAAACCAACACACGAAGATTTTGATATAAGTCAACGAAAATTTAATACATTAGCAACACAACAAGAACAACACCAAAATCATCCGCAAGCAGAGGGCATAAATACACATACCTTCGATTTTTTGGACTCTTTAAACAAAAGTTTTCTACCAGGTTTGGGCGTTGGAATACTTGTAACTTCAGTTGTTGTGCTCATTTGGGGGGCAACACGTATACGTCAAAATACCAACAATAGTCGCCCGAGTACACCAACTGCAACAACTTGTTACGCTGCTTCTGAGCATATAGCACGACTTGCCGATCCAGAAAATGGCACTAGATACCTTAAGTTACAGGCTACGACTAGCTTGTAATTAAACAAAACAATAACAACAGTTTTGTTCTTGAGACGTATCTTGCGTCACCTACTGCATTTCGCCTATAAGTCAATTATATGAAATTTGTGAGTTGCTGGCTACATACTACATAAAGCTATATTTGCCAATTGTCAACTCTTGTGATAATAGCCTTACCAATGTATTTAATTTAGTATACTTAGTTTACATAGTTTTAAGTTTTGTTTTTCATATTATTAACGAAATTGTTTAACGTCTTTGTGCTAAAGCCAAAAACTTTACTTAGGAAATCTTTTAATAATTCTCTATGTGTTATATCAAATTTCCCTTTAAACTTGCAATATACAATATCACATTTTGCTCTATTGTAGTTTCACCTTTAGACCTTGTGCCATACAATACTTAACAATTTATATTATTCCATAAAAAGACCATTAATCTATTTGTTAAAGTTTTATTTTATATTAAAAGCACAACACTTATTTAGTTTTTTTTTTATAAATTTTTAAGTCATTAACATGTACGTATCGTTATAATTTATTAACACCAAACAGAAACAGAAATAATAAAAGTTTAAAAGTATATAAAAATGTTTTCCATTATATATATAGTTATTTATATATATTTTTATTTTATTTTCTAACATTAGAATTATAGATCTCAGCTACAAATATTAGCATAATTACATAAATAAAATATTTTATGTATTTTCCGTCTAATATATGAACTAAACACACCGAGCACAAAAATTTTCTAATCATCTTAACAAATATATATATCCTTAATAAAATTTAGAATGGATTTATTGTTAGTCATCAAAACTAATTAATATTAAAGTAAAAAAACCATGCTCTCTATTTAATGTACTCATTCAAGTTACTCAGATGAATGAAACTTTATTAGGATGCTAGTTTAAAAGGAAAGTGTTGACGGGACTCTGACTCATTGATTATATACTGACCGATTAGGGAATTGATTTAATGACTGCACTCGCAGGTGTGGGTCTGCGGAAGAAAAGTAAAGTGTTGCCCAATCGATCTGACGCTTTCCAGCACTCGCCAGAAGGCATCCCTTCCATCTGTTCGAAGGTCTGGTTTTCTAAAATGTCAATAGTTCCATAGTTCGAATATAGACAATAAAAATATTGCTTTATTGGTTAAAGCAACAAAATGACTTCCTGATCCAGAATAGATTTATTTTGGAACACACTTAGCATACTCATATGCATAAACATCATATGCATATAGCGAATTCAATTATTTGGACTTTAGGTCTTTCTGCAAGAGTTAATACTTCAAAATCACGATAGCTTGAAAGTGTCGAATAAAATTAACAATAATAATGTTGACTAATAATTTACTATTAACTAATGATTTTAATAAAACCCACAATAGATTTGTGTTTTAATAAAATCACAATTAGACAGTTCCATAATTCATATGTATATATGTATGTATGTAACTTTTGGTCATAAAAATAAATATTATGTCGATTACAGAAACAAGTATCTTTATTCACCACCCAGTTAGAAACAGATTGATCCGTTATCAAAGACATACGTAACGACTGGTCGATCCAAATCACTCGTTATGTATGATTTGATATTGAAGACATTTTCTAACAAATAAGCAAAAAGTCATTAATGACCGATTGGTTATATTGCCCTGCAAACCGTCGGCATTCAGTTAAAAATATACGCTATAGAGAGTCTGCTCTTTAGTTTTCATCCTTCAACATCGAGAGACTCCTAAGCTTATTTTCTTAATTTAAAAAAAAAATTGTAAAATAGACTAGACTAAATAGACTGGTCACTAGAGATAACACCTGGATATAATTCGTGTAAGTCCACATTCGACTCTAAAACACACAAAAAAAAACTAGAAGATCAACTATGGAAGACGTTACAGGAATTATGAGTTACACAAGTAATCACAAAAATAAAATCCTGCAAGAGGGAATTGTGAGGAGGGAATTAATAATTTATAAATAAAAAAAAATCGAATTTCTATTAAGACTAAAAGTCTGGCGGTATTATATCAAACATACATTTTAAATACCAAAATTTATTGTCATACTTAAACGCAGTCAAGTTTGCGTCCATTACACATTTTAAGCAAATTAATTTCGCATATATAAAAATCAGGTGGGGTAACGCCAGTTAAAATAAAAATTTTACCTAAGACAAGGAATTTAAATACTTGCAATACAACAATGATCTTTACTATATTAATATATCATCTGAATAATTTTTTGTAAACAGTCGTTTCCATTTTTTTTAATGCAAATGAAACAGCTGATTTCAAATCATTTAATTTTTATAATATAATTTTCTGGCTTTCTAGTTCAGAGGTTAGAACTAAATTATAGATCTAGTTTTAAATTTAAAATTTAAATTGAAAGCAGTATAAAACAGTTGATGTTGATAGAAGATACGTTTTTAGATAAAATAGTAGTTTTTTGACATTTCGACAGGGATGATAAATTTTCCCAGGCACTTTTAAGAGTTTGCTAGTAAAATAAATTTTGAAAATTTGAGTTTAAAAATTTGCCCTACAAACTGAAAATGCTTTATTGAAAATGTTAATCATAATCTTTTCATTCAGAATTGTGAAAACACAGCATTAAGTCTGGTTAAAACAAGTTAGCATCACTTTTAAAATATGTGAAATATGTTTTTTTTGACATATGTTTTTTGTTGTGTTATATACAACATGAAATATAAAAATGGTAAGCACTAAAAATTTATTAATTTAAATAAAAGAAAACAAAATGAATATCAGAATGGCAATAGTTAGCATTTTTCTCTCATATATATTTAAATTAATTTATTTATTTATGTATTTGAATTTCTTGGTAAAAGAAATATAATTTTAAAGGATAACTGAAATTTGGCAACATATTGCCAATGAATATTCACAATAGACTGATTTTTGAATTTGGTTGCACTGAAACGTTAGACGTAACATTTTTTGCGAGTAGAACCTAATTCTGAAGATTTTAAGAGCATTGTTGCTTTCCATGTTTTCATCGTAAGTTGCGGGTACTTTTTTTGCTAATCTTAAAGAAAAAATTACGGTTATTGTTGGAAGCATGTTAACATATGTAAAATAAATTATTTATAGACATGTTCGCTAAAAGAATCAACAACCGATTCCTAAATTCATTTTAGATAAAAACATTTCTTATGTCACACAAACAGGATTTAAAATATATCATTTTAAATATTTAAACTGTTCGTATAATGCAAAATTCTTCCATGTGCACTTTGCATAAATAACTAAAATTGGGAAAGGATCTGAATATAATATAGATATAAGTACAATTTAAAAAAAGTGTACATTAATTTATAAATAATCATTTCGTATAATTATTTTAAAAGTTGTTTAAAATTCATAAAATCGTTTTAGTATCGCGTAAACCCCACAAAAAACTTTGTTTAGCACCACCTTATAGTGCATTCACACTGTGTCAATTAGGCACTTATTCATTTATATTTACAAATGGTAATAAGCTTCTTTTAATAATAGGCCTTTTCTTTTGTAAGCATATCACAAAAGAACAACTGCTTATATTAAAAATAACATATGAAATAACAACACTGTTGGCTTATTTAGTCCAACCGTTTTGAAATCGCCCAAGGGCCAACTTAAGCAGAGTGTCTCGGACACGGTAAAATTCGCTATTTGGGGATTTGCCGAAAATACATGTTATGCAGAGTGTCACATCAGTATTATCAATTTCGTATTTTTACAATGTTTTGATACTTTTGGTTGTGCCTAAATTTAAAAGGAAATTTAGATATGCTCACTTTCAATTTGCCACCAAAAATAACTAGCAAGAAAAAACTCATAGAGGGTGTAATAATGTTAATTTATTATTACATTATCTTACAATAATTGTTAACAGTACTTACACCTTTCTTTAAAATCGGAAAATGTAATAATTATATTATTAGCGGTTTATAAAAAAAGGCTGTGTTGCTTACTGCCATTTTTTTTCCAAAACATATTAGAATTGTAGTAATTTGCTCCTAAAAGGGCCGAATTTGGAAATTTATTACTAAACAACACTGTTTTGCCTTAGTGCTGGGGCACAAATATGCCGACTCTCGTGCCGAAGTTTAAATGGCCATATTGTTTTTTCTCTCATTGTCAAATTTAAAATTTGCATTGAAAACAACAACAATTTTACTCATGCCGTGCCCAAAACACTCTGCATAACATGGCCCTAACTAATAGCACTGACAGACGAGCGCACTAAATTATTATTAAGCAGCCTTAAATGATCATTTTAAAAATACTCTGACAGACGGTATAAATTATCATTAAGAAGTTGCTGTATCATATGTTTTTTGTTTATTAAAACTGCAAAATGAGCAAATAAATTATAATTTAGGCCCTTAATGATAATTTAGCTCCCGTCTGTCAATGCTATAATAAGCAACTCAAATCACATGATTGCTAAGACTAAAAATTAATCTATGAACCATTTTTGAAAGTACATACGAAATTTCCAGTTATCTGTCAACAAATGAATTTGTTAATTATTCGTATTTCCTGTCGTCATTGAACGTAACAAATACGTTATTTTTTCAATGTATTATTTTACTGATAAAAGGCACGAAAAATTATAATCATCCATAATCAATTTTATTACGTGTTTTGCACATATAATCCTAACAAAATCTCCATTTTATCCAGAAACGCCATCGAAAGTGGTGCTTATTTTATTTGTTTTTTTGCAACATGCTGACAAAAGAAAAGGCTTAATATATTACACAAAAAAGTAAATATATAATTGATAAAATCATTTCTATACATTTTGAATATGTATTCAATTTAAAATACAAATTTTCATATAACACATATTTCAAATTTTGTGTAATTTTATTTTCCCTTGTGTTATTTCCCTTGTGTGAAATTTATTTTTAAGGGTTACATTCGATATTTTTCGCTTTAATTGAGCTGATTTATTGATAATGAGTCCATTTATAAGAAAGCATTTTGTATGGTAAATTATCGTCATTAGTGGCGTTAATGAGCAAAATCGCCTAAATGAGACAGTGTGAATTTGATATTAACAAGTAGAATTTTATAACTGATTTTAATTAGAAAGATTATTTATAACATATCTTTAAATTTTTAAAGCTACTTAAAATTGAAAGCTATATACCAGCTGAAACCAACTTTAAAAATACTTTTTATTATTGTATGAATGCGATCTTAAAATTATTTTAAAATCTGTTTTAAATAGACTTTTAAATTCCAATAAACATAGCAAATATTCCATTTCAATCACAACCAACTTCGCCAACAAAATAGTGGCTCTAAAATCGCCATTTTTAAATTCGGTTTTCACAAAAGTACGATCGTCTGTATTTTCGTGTGCATTTATTCATTTTTTTAAATTTGTGGAAATAGATTATTCGTCAACATATTATGGCCCCAGTAGTCAATGCAGGACCGTTGCCGGTTTTAAACAGGCTTAAGCCAAGGCTATATTTCATTCAAATGGAAGCACAATTTCTGAATGCACAAATTATTAATGATATTGGAAAATATAGTCTTATAGTAGCATCGCTTGACAGTGAAATTTTAGAAGTTCTTTCCGAGAATCCTTTATTCAACTCTTATATAAAGTACGACCAGTTAAAAGATCTCATAATGAAAACCTGTGCAGATTTGGAAAATAGTAAAGTTTGTAAACGTTTACAGGAGGGCGAATTTGAAGCTGACAAACCTTCTCAGCTACTCCATAAAATGCGCGATTTCGTCAATGGAGCTGTATATGAAGAAGATCTTAAGCGTTTGTGGTTGGAGAGGTTGCCGGAATCAGTACGTGGTGTAGTATCAACCACAATCGACCTTGAACGTTGTGCCGAACAAGCTGACAAAATAGTGGAACTGAACAGTTTCCCACGTACAGCACAGATGCAAATAACAAACGAATCAACTACGTGCGATCTGAACGCGGTTATGGAAGCGATAAAAACTTTAAGTAACGATTTAGCAGAATTGAAATCCTCCCAGGTACATAAGTAAAAAAAAATATCTACTGTTTAGAAATTAACATGTATCCAATGATTTTTAAAAACAACAATGGATTTTTTTGATGAGAAAATCAATTATATTTTAGCCCAATTTTTACTGAATATAGTTTTTCAAACAGTATAAAAAGGCTCGTCGACCATAAAACTCAGTAGTCTTTTCAGCGACAAAAACATTTTTCCAAAAGGGTTACAATCGTATAAATATAGTGAATGCTTAATCTTATGGACAAATGTAATTGTCAATAAATTGGCAATTAACTTCAAAAACTTATTTTTAAAAACTTCTTAATTTTTGCTTTCGAGTTCACACCATATATGTACTTAATGTTTATTACCTTTTTTCAAACAAATTTGACAATAATAATCAAAAATTCTGCAATTTACCTTGTGCTCATAACTCTTCCATTTCTCCATATCAACTCTTATTGTTAGTAGCACTTGATACGATACCATTTAAAGAGTAAAAAAATTATAATTACATTTGTAAACTCTCATTCCTCAAGCGAATTAGTTTTAATATTTCAACATCAATGCAAAAAATTTTGAATGAATAAATCTTTGATATTTTTTACTATTTTATTTATTGCAGTCTAGTTCCATTGATTGTAAAATGCATAATGATAGTGAGTCCGCAATAGACGTAGAAAATAAAGATAATGTAATCGGTACATCTGAGGTAAGAACATATGTGGGAAACGTAATATATCATTAATTTTGTTTTTTTTTTCTAATTTAGAATATAGATAATATCCGTGAACGAACAAAGATGGAAGTACTAAAAGCCGTAAAGAAAAAGAAACTGTCGAAAGATTTCTGCAACTTCTTATATTCTGAGATGGACAAGTTGGATATGACTTTTGACGACATTCAAGAAGAGATATCGATTTTAATGAAAGTGGAGAAAAAAAAAAGAGAAAAAAAACAAGATGAACAAAAGCTTTGTACTCTTCAAACCATCAGCCAAGAAGGACGTCCTTGCACTTCGCGTACCATTTCTGAAAGCGAATATTCAGTCATTAATAATGACTCACTATCAGTTTCTATGTTATCATTAAGTCAAGATGAAGAGTAAAACTTACATAGTACCTATATCTTTTCAATATTTAAACTTCTATATATAAAATAATATTAAAATATTTTCATTTCAAATTATACATTTTGCTTTTTACTATTTTCATTGAATCGCTACCTTGTTCCACTAAGACTAATCTATTATTTAAAAAACATAGCGAAGTGCTTACATGAGGATAAATGTATTTTCAGTATTGTTGCAAATATGTCAGGATTGTTGCAAATAAATAGTATAAACTTTCACGGTCTGGAAACATACTTACAGTTTTTTAATCATTTTGTCTTTTATAAAGTTGTTGTAATGGTAAAGCAGCCCACTTGTTATTGTCATAATCAAACGCTGAACTAAAAATCAAGTACATGAAAAATTTACCAACTACTACATAATGAGCTGAAACGGTAGTGCAAAATTAGACTAAAGATGAGAAAATCGGTACCAAAGGCGTATCTATCCATTTTAGATATCAATGCCATTTGTGGCTCCCACAGTCGGGTGAAAACAGATATATATTCAGTTTGATATTTATTGAAAATTCAACAGCCTTTGAAAAATCTTGATTAATCACCATATCTTGTGAATGAAAAATTTTTAATGACAGCGACTCTAGGAAGTCATTGTTGGCAATTGGTTTGGTAGACTGTTATAGGCTCCACCATTCTGTAGAAACATCTGTAGAAATTGTAATACAACAATGCAAAGTTTTTTTATGCTATTACATAGTTAATAACTAGCAGTTAATAATATGTTCTCATTTGCTTTATTAATGTTATTGATTAACCGTAGAAAGAGCTTTTATGCTTTCCAACTTAAGCCATGTTTCCACTTGTCTCATTTATGAAGTTTTGCTTATTAACGCCGCTAATGAGAGTAATTTATCATATAAATAAATAAATTAAATAATTTAAGACGATTGGTAAATAAATTACCAAAATTTGAAATATTATATGCACTATAAAATGTAAACAAAAAACTAGTTCACTTGCATAAATGAACTCATGCCAATAGAAACGACCGAATCTTAATATAATTCATATAAATTGATTTAGTTGCAGTGAAAATATGATATCACTATGTTAGAATTAATTAGAATTATGCTTGTTGTTGTTTTATTATTATTATACTATGTACAATTGTACACCGTGACCCATAAAATGTGTAACGCACTTTACATTATATACTTAAGATTTCTTATGAAAGTAATCTAGTTTTGAGCAAAAAAATTGGCTGTTTGTTGCGTTCTTACGCGGAAAGATTATAAAAGAGTGTGAAAGTAATAAACAACCGGTGACCCCGTGATCCCTCTGTGTAACCGCGGCTTTCGTGACCCTGGTCACAAAGTTTACCGCTATAAACACACGCCTTTCACTAACCTCCAATCTCTAACTTCACGCCCATGCTTTCTGATTTAGATAAAACTAGTCCGGTAGGTATTAAGCCTATCTGTGCTCTGATATTTCTTCCTTGATTACTGGAATGAAGTTTCCACATTGCTGTGCAAATCTTCTCCATTCATGCCTGAGAGGTGGTTTTAGTGGGTTTCAATATATGTATATGAAAAACAACTTCAAAAGCAGTTAATAAACATTATCTCGCGCAGTGTGATGTGTAATATACAATGAGTATATTAGGTCTATATATTAGACACACCTAATAATGTATATTCGGTAGATCTAGCCCTCATACAATTCAATTAATTTTAAATTAAGGTATTTGATTAGTTTTGGAAACTGTGTAAGACACATAGGATACTCTACTGCAACTAACATATTTTCCATGTTTAAAAATCTGAAAATTAATTATTATATCTTAAACTACAATAGACGCTTAAAGCACAACGATAAATATTAAGACGAATTAACAAACCATGCACATAGTTAGGAAGTCGTGCAACACTCTACGACTAATAACACGCAATAGGTTGAACTAGAAATCTTTTGTAGAATTCTTAAACTCTTAAAGATGAGTATGGAAATAATAATTTGAAACTTAACTTGCTCCTCTTCGTTTCTTACAGTAAAACGAAATATTCTTGGCGTTAAATGTGTTGTTCCACTGTCTTTGAACAAATTTGGTTTATTGCTTTTCTGCGCCTAGACAATCTTCTATAGAAGTACCGTTCTAAATTCTGGTCTAGTACTCTGGTACATTGATGAGTATGGAAAAAATAATTAGAAACTTAACTTGCTTCTCTTCGTTTTTTACAGTAAAAGGAAGTATTCTTGGTGTGTAAATGTGTTGTTCCACTGTTTTTGAGCAAACTTGGTTTATTGCTTTTCTGCGCCTAGACAATCTTCTATAGAAGTACCGTTCTAAATTCTGGTCTAGTAATCCGGTACATTGATAGGTATGGAAATAATAATTTGAAACTTAACTTGCTTCTCTTCGTTTCTTACAGTAAAACGAATTATTCTTGGCGTTAAATGTGTTGTTTTACTGTCTTTGAGCAAACTTGGTTTATTGCTTTTCTGCGCCTAGACAATCTTCTATAGAAGTACCGTTCTAAATTCTGGTCTACTAATCCGGTACATTGACCTAATTGATTTAGATTACTGAGATTTAGACTCAATTACAACTTACACTTTATTTACTGTATATTTGTGTGTATTGGAGTAGATTATTTGCATGCGTTTTTTTTTCGGATCATCTCATTTGAGTTGTCTTTAGTACTTGTACTAAACAATATACAATCAAATTGCATCCGACTAATTGAAATTTGAAATTATAGGCAGATACAATATTTTTTATTTGCATGCATTTAATTTATCTTTGTTTATTCATTGCAAATATTTAAGTGTGATAAAACAACACATAAATAAAATTATTTAAGATATTTTGAATAATGTAAATATCACAAATTTATTATACCGTCAATCACTGTCATCAATCAGAATACTGTCATACATTTCCACTGGGCGTATATTATTTTTTAATCGAGTTAAATGTATCTTGCATTTTGCCTTGTAACTTTGAACGGCCTTACTACACAGCACAGGTGGAGCAATTGAAATTTGCGTATATATCTGAAAAAGTATGATTAGTTTAATATATTTGTTGAACATAATATACCTTATCTATGACTAAGGAATTTATATATAACATAGACATTTGCTTTCAAATATACTTGTATTAATATTAAAGCCAATATTTGTCAGAAAAAACAAATTTTTAATTTATAATCATGAACGTTCCATTAAATATACATTTTATATATCATATAACTTGGTAGCACAGATTATATAGCCGTCCAATTCGAATGACGGATCGTTCATCATTAAAGATGTTTGAAAGACATAGAGACACAGTTCAAAACTGATTAAACAGAATGGATGAAGGTCTTGCAAAAAAGATTTTTTTTAAAAAATTCCATTTGGCGTATATGACCTCAAAAATGGATGCATCCACGCTTTGTATATTTCATGTTGGAATAAAATATGGAAGTAATTAGTAACGTAATTAGTTTTTATTAAATAATTTTCATTTTCTCATTACGATGTATATTAAGTCTTCATCGTTATTTCTAAAATTGTCCAGTGATTGTTCTCAGAGTGGCAATCTAATAAAAGACAATTTCAGCAAATAGAATACTTTATTTTGGGAAAAGGTTTTATGTAAAAAAAATAGTCATTGTCTTGTATATATGTTTAGCAATAATAAATGTAAATATGTTTAGCAAATACATTAATATTAAATAATTTGAATTGAAATAATATTATATAGAAGTAAAAATACTAAATGATAAATGATAAGCTATCTGCATAATAGATCTTTAATGCATTTTAGTTTCTCAAATGCGACAGATTAGTTTTAAAACGGATATAAATTACTAAACTTATATATGATAAAAGAAGCTATTTTTTCAAATAGAAATATTTTTGAACAATAGTGACTTACAGCAAAACTTTCACTTAATTAAATTTTTGAATGGCCAAACAACTATTTCTAGTATTGTAGAAATAATACATATCAATGTAATCAATATTCTTTGGAAGTACTAAGATTTCATTTCATATTTTGCTAGATTTGAAATTCAGAGCCACACTTTACTTTTACTATAGCGAACTGGCGCAACTCTGCATTTTTGGCTTTTGTTTACGACAATTATAATAATGAAACAAATATCTTAAATTTTCATATTCGTATGCTTAATTAATTAAATTAAAATAATGCAACAAAAAATTTTTAAGTTACCTCAATGTATTCGAGTTCAGTCTCATAACTTATGCATTCTTCCATGAGAGTTAAAATACTTAGAAACTGCTCTTTATCCAAGACATACTTCATTTCACCAATGTTTTGCTTATACCACTTAGCATAGGAGTCTATATTTTTGTCTATATCTTCAGTTGTGGCAGTAGCAGCACGTGCTGTGAGTAGCAAATGCAGCATCGCATTTTTACATGGATTATTGGAGATTTGTAATAAACGCGTTTTAAAATATTCTACAAAATATATTGAATATTATTCATTTAGAATGTGTTATGTATTTATATTTTTAAATATTACTTCTTATATATACAGAACATTCATTTGTGCATCTGCTAACAATAGTTTGCATTAAAATTAAATAAAATTTCCATTCTTTAAAGTGTTCCTTAATGGATGCGTTAAACAAATAATTAATTGCTGCTTGCTCACAAAATTTTAGAAGCTAAGAAAAGTTTTCTAATAATTAATTAGTTCAAATATTGTACATTACATTAATACAAGATACCTTCACATATAAATCCTTTGTAAATTTGTAATTATCTACACTATTATTAATCCAAATGCTATAATTTTGGAAAGCTGATTTAATATTACTGTCGTGTAAATCCATTATAACCTGAATATGCTTCTTCATTACATGTAATAGCAACGATTCTGCAAAACAATAGCAAATAATTAAGTTTATTTTAGAGAAAAAACATAATTTTTACCTGGTAATTTATTATTGAAAACATTTAAGTAACTTAAATCGTTTAATGTGGGATTTTTTAACAAATCTAAAAATAAACATCTCAAAGATTCATCCAAATACATATTAATTCGAGTGTTGTTAAAATTATCTGTAAAATGTAAGAAATATTTAATGTATAATATATATAAAAATATTTAAAACAAGTTTTCTTTTTGTTTAAATAATTACCATAAAATGAGGATTTAAATAGTTGCAATAACAAATCGTATTCAGTTTCTAGGAAGTCATTGAGTATCAACTGTATTTGTGCGCTATCCTTTAAACTAAAATTAAAACAAAAATTAATAAAATAAGTTCATAGCACTATTTGAATTAAATTAAAGTAGTATACATTGTGTAAAGTGAAAACTAAGCCTTAATTGTAGGAGTAAACAATAACGGCTAATCACATTAGCGACTATAGCCACTCTACACCAAAAACCGTAGAATCAAAACTAAAAAAAATCACTATTAATGCTGTTTTAACTTGAATGGACCTTAGTTTCAGAATGCATTATTCCTTTTTCCTTAGTAAAACACTACTAACAGCTTTAGGCCGTTTGCGGTTCGAGCTCTTTTTCTTGATGTTGTGACAGCATAGCTGAAAAGGTTAAACTTCACCATATAACGCCCAACAAATAAATAGCTTACAGAAAGTAGACCTCGACTCTTTTGGTAATATTTATCTCTCTTACTTGTATCATATATCAGCAAACACGATTATAAGATCAGCAAATGAGTATGAAAATAATGTTTAATAATTATTACTATAATTTCTTTTTATATGTTTAGCTAAAAAGCATAATTGGTATAAATATTAATTAAATAAGTACCTTAATATGTACTCAGTAGCTGACAACAATTGTATCTCCTGTAGTACTCCAAGTACACGTAGACTTCCGCAATTCCATTCTAAGTTCATAAAATGCTTTCGTATTAAATACTTTACTTAAAGAAAATTTTATAATATATTGCGTGTTTAATTGTAGAATATATTACATGTATATGCTCACCTTCTCAATCTGATTAGTGCTTTTTAGAAAATTTATAAAATCATAACGAAACTCTAGCACGACATCTGCACTCGCATTTGTTATTAACTTAAAATATGTAATCTTGTTACATTTTCTCTATCGATATACATTGCCTTTGAACTTACTTTGCATATATTTTTAATATTATTATCATAATTCATATTTCATACTTTCCATAGTTTGTTTACAAATTAAATTTGCGCCTTTTGCAAAAACGTCAAATGTGTTTGTCTTAATTTTTTGACAGCTGTCATTCAGCTACTTTGTTGAAATAGATGTCGCATATTTATTAACTTATTTAAATTATTGTATTTAGGTCGTGTGCGAGTTAGGCCAAGTTGATGCTAAACCAAATGGGAAATTTTTTGGGATTTTTTGCACTGCACACATTTAGCCATTTATCAACACGTACCGACACATCACTACATTATCGGCACAACTTAGAATTTCCCTCATTTAGAACGCAACTTAGCCTAACTCGCACACGACCTTAAAATAAAAAGACATCAATATTTCAGATTTACAATTACAAAATACAAGTGGATGATATGTTTTTCTTAATTTTTTTCACAAATCAATAATGTGACAGAAGTTCAGAAGTCAGAATGTATACTCAAATTTCCCACCTTTTAGAAATGCAGAGTGGATTAATTTCAGTAAAGGTTTATTTATCTATCCATTTAATTTTTAATTTTATAAAAATAAAATGACAAATTATTAAATAATTAAAACACTACATGCCAACAATATGTATTATATATAAAAAATTGATTGTAACCGTTCCTCTGAAAATTATAAAATTATAATATTTAAATTAAAATTGGTTTGAGCTAAAAACAATGCAACCAAGTCTAACAACTATTTTTAAAAACCATTTTTGCTACTGATACTGTAAGGCAAAATATGAGTTAAAATTATTACGATATATCAAAGTATCCAGAAGCGGTATTATGAGTTGTTACTATGTTCCAAAAAAGTGTCGCATTAATAATGCAGGAAATAAAATACACGTATGTATACTGCATATAATGTTAATGTTTTAATCTGAATGCAATAATGCTCTAAAACATTAATGCAACTTTTCGGTTTTTGGTGATCTATCTAGACCTATCTTTTTTATTTTCATCTGACTTACCGTACCACATAGTTATCGGGCCATCACTCAGCCCGAATTTTTACCTCTCAGCTCTATTGCGATTGGGGTAACTTTACTACTACATTGAATAAAGGTTCGTTTTACCTAGTCCATTCTTATTGATCTTCATCAAAATGCATATTTGAATCTTATGTATATTTAACCGTTTAATTACTGTGAAATTTTTCTATCACATAGAACATTTGATTCTCCTCTTCAGCTTTACTTTCTACATTGTACACGGTGTGCAATTTCTTGTTCGAATTCCTAACGAATGAGAGTTCAGGCATTACATGCTGTCCACTAAACTCATTAGTTCAATTTAGAGATTTCTGTATAAGTATTACCATAGCTTTATCAAACTGGGACAAAATTGCTTTACTTTTCCTTTAATCACTCGTAACTCATTGGACTCAAAAGCGTTTAACCACTGTTACAACTTTTCCTCGTGGATGGTTTTATAGTGCGCAAAAAGAGCATACAATAGAGTCCAAGTTAAACATCAGCGGACTTAAAACTTAATTATGTTAAATTTCAACATGTTCTCTAAAGCGATTTGTCACTCCACTCAAGTATTTATCCTGCTTGGTGACTTAATGATATAAAATATATAAAGTTACCGAATCCTAGCAGTTGCAGTCTAACTACAGCTTCGTTAACCACAGCTTCGTTAACCATAGCTTTGTTAACCAACTCTCTCTATCTACTTCTTGCCATTCTACTATAATCTCGTATTCCTAGTATTTTTAATAGAAGTGCGCACAATTAATCAAACCAAAAGTACTTTTACTATATAAAGATCACTAAATATAGATATAGACAGGTAATAAATATTTAGTAGTATCTGAAAGTTTTGAATTTTTTCAAATTAAATTTATTATACTGCTAAATAGTTTCAAACTGTTCCTTTTAAACGAGTTTGAACACCATCTAATCTTATTGTATATGATATTTAAGACGTGTGCGAGTTCAAATAAATTGAGGTAAAGTAAATTGAAATTTCCTAGGGATTTTTTGCACTGCATTTATGTAAATATTTATTTAATTATTTATTTATTGCACTTATTTATTTTTTTTTAGTTAAAGTTTTCAAATTTATTTATTTATTTATTTATTAAACATCTTATAAAACTTTCACAATGGTAACATCTAATTTACCTAATTTTTACCTTATTTACCCTACTCGAAATTCTGGTAAATATTAACATTCGCTGTCATACCGACATAATTTACTATTTCCTCAATTTACCATCAATTTACTCGAACTCGCATACGGCCTTATTACAATAAATTTCCTTTCCTTATATAAAATAAAATAATGACATTTATAGGCTTTTAAATCTGACTCATTTAATAACACAAACAGTTTTTTGTTTCCATCCGCTATGCCGAAGTTTTCATCTTCATAAACTAAAGGGAGATTAAAAGCGTCACTAAACAAATATCTGCAGATTAGATATTAACCCTCCGTAGTGTTATTATGAAGAGAGATCGTCCGCATTTTATGTAATCACTCCGTAAATATTTTGTTGCATTTTCTTCTTTGTTACAATCCTATTTTTATTCTCTATAATATAGAGCAGATAATAATAAGGTTATATAGCACTTTTTTGATGATATCATTTCCACAGAGACCCAAACGTTTTTGCGGTAATGATTTATATTATTTGATCTAAACGATTGATAACGCAGATAATCGTTTCTTGAATCTTTTCATTCTGTTTTTTCGCGATTTCACATTCTTTAGTAAACTTTTTGCGTTTCAACAAATTTGTATTAATTTTCTTATGAAAAAGTAGAAAATAATCAATTGGAGTTTTAAAATTCAATTAACATTTTTATCTAATCAGAAGTATATTAATATTATTCGAAAATCCATTTTAAGTGAATCTTAGTGAAATTATTATTAAATTATTGTGGCGATTGTGGCGATTTTAAATCGCGGTCACAAGTTTTGTCCAAATGAATTATTTTTTTTTGTAATAAATGTTTAAAATAATATAAAATAAAATAAAAAAAAATTTAATACAATAATTTAAAAAAAAATATTTATAAATATTCAAAATATATTTTTGTGTTAAATCAATATTTTTTTTTTTTTGCAATGGATATATTCGAAAATATAATAATTGTTTTTCTGGTAGTTGTTTTTTCATCATTTATAATACGTGTAAGTTTCTTCATATATACAGTTTTAAATAATTTAAATATAAAAATATATGAAAGAGAAATTTACACCGTTTTGTAGATCCTAACGCTATTCTGCGAATTCTATCTAAAAAAAGAGGAGACACCGGGTAAGAATAGACACTGTATGAATAAATTGTTATTACGACCGATATTTATTTAGTTTTTATGTTTTTTACCGGGCTTAGGTCGTCTATTTAACACATAAATTTATAAAAATGTTCTTTTAAAAAAAATAAAATATTACATTTTTTAAACTGTGTTAAATATTTAGTTATATATAATTTTTATACAAAATTATTTTACTATATAAATTAATAAAATAATGGCAGTTTGTAAAACAATATTTCTGAATCAGACATGGATGCTTGCGTTAAGGTTTTCTCATTTCGTTCTAGTCCAAATAGCATTTTAAGCATCGTTTGATTAATAAAATTTAGTAGATAAAATACAATGGGTCAATAGACCTAAGTGGATCCACTAAGAATTGTCGGTATAACCTAACCTAACCTAGAAGGTAAGACTTATGACAAATTTTTAAAACCCATCTGAGTGATTGATTATTTAATGATGGAGTGCTTTTGCATAGAATGTGCTCAATAAATTTTTCCTACCTCTTCAGCTTTCGTAATTTTGATTGAAGAGGTTATACAGTTTTTTGAAATGAGTACATATCTGTCAATAAACAGTGATAACCTTCAGAGTTTACGCTACTTTGAACCTATCCTTAAATTATATATGACTTTTTCACAGTTCATAGTGATTATCAGTTATGACATTTTTCAGCATATTTTAATCGAAGTTAGTCTAACTTCGACTAACTCTTTCCATGCCTGGAGAGTTGGATGCTATTTCATTTTCTTGAATTCCGCAGTGTGAAACTCAAACTACAGAATTTAAGCTTTAATTGCTTACTGATCTCAGTGAATTATTACACTAAGGCTGTGTGCGAGTTCGCAGTAAATTGATGGTAAATTGAGGGAAATAGTAAATTATGTCGGTATCGCAGCGAATGATGGTATTTACCCGAATTTCGAGTAGGGTAAATTAGGTAAAAATTAGGTAAATTAGGTGTTACCATTGTGAAAGTTTTATAAGATGATTAATAAATAAATAAATAAATTTGAAAACTTTAAACCAAACATAATAAATAAGTGCAATAAATAAATAATTTAAAAAAAATGTACATAAGTGCAGTGCAAAAACTTCCTAGGAAATTCCAATGTACTTTACCTCAATTTACTCGAACTCGCACACGGTCCAATTAACTTTGATTATGTAGTATGAAGCAAGTATAGCAGCTGAACAGTCTGAAAAACTCGCCATATCTAGGTTTTTCAGATTTGCTACTGACATAAGATGTCTAGTTTTTTTGATAATAAGAACTTCTGGATGAAAGGTACTAGAAAAGGATAGCAAAATTAAAGTACAGATGCGTGTAGATGCGGTAATCTCATACGACTGAATAAATTCTTTTTTCTTCCATTTTTGCTTACATGAAAGTATTGTAAAAGAATATTTACTATTTGGGGCATGAACAGTTAGTATTTCTTATCAGTTTTGGAGGTGAGATCGCAAAACTAGTGATATGCTCTGAGCTAAAATTCAGACATACGACTATTAAGCAATTTTTTGTTTCCTAAACAAATATATATCCTTTTAAATACTTGAATTAAAGAACAGTTTTTATTTTTGAAAATCATTTTTAAGTCAAAAAACAAATTATTTTTTCTATTTTTATTGAATTTTGTTATTTATTTAAGTATACCAAAGGCTCGTACAAGATATTATCACATGACAGGCTGCCCTACTTAGCACCTTCCAATCTCAGAAAAATTTCTAGCCGCACGGGGTGGTATGCAGCTCATAGATCAGTCATCGAAGCTTTTGAGGAAAACATAAATTAGTCAGTGAGAAAGATAGGACTCTGCAGAAACCCCCTAACTATCAATATGTAAAAGTGCCCAGATGCACTAACTTGAAAAAGACTCAATATGAACATTAATATGCTTACTTTATTCAAAGGTAAAATATAGTCTCTAAAGTCTGCCACAAATATAGTGAAATATAGAAGGAGATTTATTAAGGTAAATTTGTTTAACGTTAATTTTAAAAACACAATTTTTGGTTAGTCATACTTTAAATCTAATTGTCAGGAAAATGTGATAAAACAATATTTTAGAGAATCTAAATATTATGAAAAACAAAGTCGACAATTAAAAATTTGATATTTTAATATATTATACTCCCTACTCAAAAACTATCAGGAATAAGTTATTTCAGCAACGCTCACTAAAGAACTAATACAATTCTAGTAATACTAAACTTACCAAAATTGCATATAACTAGTGGATCATTGAATGGTTTGTGAATAGAGAGTAATACCGTTTTCGATTGGTAAATCTGGGGTAACATTTTTAATCAAGATTCACTTTAAGTTTAAGTAATTTTTATTTTCGATTGATAAATTTCGAGTCAAATGTATGACAAATGTCATATGACAAATGAGATGACAAATGTTGTATCACAAATGTTTTATGACAAATATTTTATGACAAATGTTATATGACAAATGTCATACGTGACAATTATACGATTAATTTTTTTTAATCTCGAGTTTTTATAATTAAAACTCTAGATACTCTAAAATCCTGCTGTTTTATATGACTTTACAAATAAAGTGTAATTTGATTTGATATATGTATATATAAATATATAAATGTCTACTAACTTAACTACAAAAATGTTATGTTAATTTGAAAGATTCGGAGTTAATCTAGATTGAGTTCAGATTTACCAATCGAAAACATTATTAGTGTAAATGTAATCGATCAATTAATAAATCAATTCATTAGTTTGCAGGTCCTGCACTCAAATAATCGATACAGTTTTAAAAAACAGTACGTGCTATTATATTTGCACAGTGCAAGCCTATCATACTTAATTGATAATGTAGAGGATTAAAAGAAAATCAGATTTATTTCTAAAAACTTCACCAAAGTCGGGGTTTTTAGTGGATTCCAAAAGCGTGGCCAAAGTTCTTGCAAGAGAAGATACTTTGATCACTCGAGCTGAACCCCACACACCAGGGTGACTATTCTGTTCAGGAGATTTTTTTGCCCCGACTATAAAATAGGTAGGAACAAAAAACTGCCACATTCCAAATCTTTTTGACAGAACAAAGTCTGTCGGGGCCGCTGGTTATATATAAAATGTTAAATTAATTAATTATATTATATTACATACAGTCTTCAGCAATGCAAACTATACGAAAAGAGTTCATACCTTATCTTCGCGCATCTAAAACATGAATGAACTCAGAGTAAATGACCTCTTTTGCTATGACTCGAAGAAAAATTTCAACATTTTTTGTAAACAATTTTTTGCTCATTAACACGTTAAGTTAATAAAAATAAATTCTTTTAAAATAAATAAAAATCAAAATTATTAATATTTGTTTTGGTTTTTCAATTTTGCAAAATTAAAACATGAAGCAAATTGTCAACATATTTATATGAAAGCTCATTTATATCTTATCTAGACTCATTTGTCAAATTAAACACTTTATGTAGAATCTATATTCCTTGACTTATTACTCGTATTCCGCAAATGAAAGAAAGCGTATTTTAAATCTTATATACAATATTCTTATCAATTATGACAAACTATTCCAACAATTACTACCCCCAAAAAATAGACGTGCTGAGTTTACGAACAGTAGCTAAATTTGTTTGTTCTGATCGTGTTCTATTTTCGATAAATATTTTTGTTTTGAATCCTTTGAAGGATTTTAGTGAAATCTTATGTACTAAAAACTTCGAGTACTAAAAGTGTTTAAATATGTCGACAACATTAAATACCACAGTGCATTCGATTACTAGTTCCACTGCTAGAATTCTGAATGTAACAGAAACCACAAAGAGTTCTTTAAATTTAACCACAACCATAAAGCCACCACTAATTAATTCCACTAACACCAGTACCACGGTAATATGGCAAACCAGTTCCACTACTGAAGATTCTGGTTACTACTACGATTATGGTTGGTATTATTTTTCATGGACTGGGTTCCTATACTTTTGGCTGGTGCTAATGTTGTTGCTTATATTGGCTTCCGGTTTAGCTAAGGTGAATAAAATACTATTTTATTTTCTTAGTGGTAAAAAACTTAACCAATTTCTTTTTAAAGTTAGCAGCAATTCGTCGTTTAAAACTACAACAACAAATAGGTAAATATTATCGTAATTTATAAAAATATAATATAATATAATATAAATACCAAAAACGTAATGCCACCCGTAGATATTTCCGAGCATACTAAAACCTGTTTTGAATATTTCGACACCCATACCACAGGTCCTTAATCAAAATAAAAATAGCAAAATAAAACTTTCTCCTTGTGACTTCATATCCGTATAGATGTGATAATTCCATTTGGCTTAAAACTTTTTTTTTGGTTTTCTTAATACTTGGAATTTATTTTTAAGGTATTAACAGTAAATACTTTTTGCCAACTTTAGTGGTGGGATCACCAGATTAGTGGTAACTCTAATCTATTTAAGCCTATCCTGGAAATTTCGGTGCCCGGTGTACACTCTTAATCAATAAAAAAAAGAAACATACACTTCTTACCTTGCGCCCTAGAACAGAGTAGAAGTTCCGGCTTACACAATACTTTTATTTTATTATTTTTAAATAATAGGCTATTAATCCACCTCGATCTAAAAGATCTATTGTGCGCCTAAAGGCACAACTAAAACAATTCTAGACTATTTATAAATCTCGTAACTGCTGTGGGCTTAATTTTAAGTATTTGATTTGGGACTAAGATCCCGCTTTCAAGGTAGTCGAGTCTATGTCTTGTCGCCGCTGGATATTTGCATAAAATATATTCTGATGTTTTCTGCATACACAATACTTTTATTGTGAATAAATACTTAAAAATCATAACGCTGTCCCCAAATTTTAAGCTCTAACGCAGAGCCTATTTCGCTCTAAGGCAACCCTATGCAGATACTATTTGCATATTTATATTCTGTAAGAACTCTTATTATTATCGATAGATACTATTTTAAGCATTAGAACTTACTTACATTGTTGGTTATTGAATTTAGGCACCTATATACGCCATATTGTCTTCATATAATTAGCACTATCCTTAAACCCAATGTTGACTGATTAAAGTGTACCGATGCGATGTGTAGCAGTTGATTCCATTCTTGCCAATTCATGTATTTGCAGTTTCCATAAATGTTGCCCATTCACACCATATTTAAAACTTTTCAGCTAATACAATAATATATATGTAGTGATTTTCGATCATTTTTGATTTTGTGAACAGTCGAATGAAGAGGGTATGTACTGCCTGACTATCAGAGAAGAAGTCTTTTAGAAAAGTATGTAATTGATAGAATAAAAATCACTTCAGCTCAACTAATTACTTCAACATTGACATTTATTTTTATTCTCAACTAGAATTCTACGATTGCAAGCCCTAATTAGATTTCATTTCATTATCAATTAATTTAAGTAATCGCCAGGTTTTTTAACATATATACGAACTTAAAAAATTCCCCACTGATAGATAAGAAATCATATTAAAGCAGAAATTAGTTTACTTAAACTATTTTCCTTTATATACTTCAAAAATATACTATATACCCTTAAATTATATTAATAACATTAGGATTGAACCACAAGACCAGATTCTAAAACATAGTTTGATCTCTGAATGATCGCCTTTAAATTCCTTTCATTTGCTTGATAATAACACTATAAACCTAATACACTTTCTTTCCTTTTCTAATTTTCAGTCAGACAGAAACTCTTTTAATAGTTATCTATACTATAGTTTATGAAGAATCTAACTAATGACCTTATTGTCAGATTTTTCTAGTTAATTTGACAGCTATTTGATAAATTTTTTATTACAATTCTCCAATAGTATAATTGGGAGATATAATGGTACATACCGCCCTACGATAAGGTGATGCAAATTGACACAATATGATAAATATAAAGGTGGACCTATGTTCCAAAAGGAGAAAAGGCCTACAGTAAGTAAATATGTCAGTGTAGGATCACCATATATTTTGTTTGAATTCTTATAATAATTCATGGAAACTGTTTTACTAATACGGTTTTTCAAATTTAATGTTACAAACTCCTTATAAATATTAATCGAATCATGATCTTAACAAAATTTATCAATATTCAACTAAGAGTTTAAATGTTTTCCCAAAGCTTCAATCCACTTCAGCAAATTTTTAGGCAGCAAATAAGCTATTTATCTTTTAATTATATATTTTTTTTACTACTCTGTTGAGGCTAGTCGAGTCAGTGTATTTCAGCACTTTTACTCTCTACTAACTCCGAGGTTTCTTCATAACCTCTCTCTACGCCTTCACCGGATTATCACTTTATCAGACTAAGCAATAACTGACCTCAGATCTGCATACCTCCCCGAGGAGCCTGTAACCATTCTAAGATGCGATAACGCGGTGTTGTAAACCTGTTTGTTTTCGTAAATAGTTTTATGGCTCTATTCTTCATGTATTTTTTGATCGGATTAATCTTGAGGTCCCTGAGGATGGCAATTGTTGGTTCCTTTTCAACAGCAATTCCTTACTTAATCTCTTACTTTAAAACAGAAAGTGTAACTAGCTTAATTGTCAAACTAATCATTAGTAACCTATTACCGGGATTTACCTTGAAATAAATCGTTTCTATAGGCGACTTGTTTGGTATATATGTCCTCCCCAGTCTCGTACATCGAGTGAAAACAGTGATAATTCAATTTTGTCACTCCATTTAAGAAGACACGATCTTTTTCAACATCTTCTTCTTCTTATAGTCACTTTTACATTTTCTTGGAAAATCACCTCCCATCATTTCCAAACTTGTTGAAATTATATTGAAAATTAAATAAAATTTGCTAAATAATATCACTGTTGCAGTAAAACTGTTATATCTAATATATATGCGGCAATTGGAAGAAAAATGTAGGTGAACAAAGATCTTGCGAAGAACTTTTGTCTTTCGAGAGAGAGCTCAGTAATACAGCTTCTAACAGAAACCATAATAACTACTACTATATATGAAAACTCTTCAACATATCTCTTTGTTAAGAGAACTTCGAAAGTACAGTTAGTAGCAGTCAGTTGATCATCAAAACAAGTAGTAGCCCTAGCTAATACCCAATATACCTATATTATATTTTTTGCTGTTATTTCTTCTAATTCGGTAATAAAGTCAATAACGTCATACTTTGCACAGTCAACGTGGACCTATTTGTAGTATATGTATACTATACTATTATGATGTATAGCTATCCTATGTATGTTCATTACTATAGCGGAATTGAAGCAATAACAGGAAGAGAGAACGCCTTGTCTGAACGTTTACTTGTTATCAAGTGCTTCTGTATAACATTCTGCATAGGCATGTAACCATTTACATAATCGAAATTCAATAATCGAAGAACAAACAAGATTGGAGTACTGAACTGAAAGAGAGTAGCAGAAGATAGGACAGATGGAGGCAGATCGTGAGGGAGGCCAAGGTTCATACTGGACTGTAGTACCAAATAAGAAGAAGAAGCTAAAATATATTCCACAATATACTGCTTTACTATTATTTTATAAAATTACCATTGTGAAATTTAATATTGTTTAATAATATTGTTAAATACCTAACGATACATATTCAATATATTGAATTATTTAAATTAGGTAACAAATACACTTGTCTACTTCATCAGACGTCTATCAATGGTTAAAAGTGAAATGTGATTTACACCATTTAATCCTTCATATAAGTCTGTTCTGAGTACTTACATATTTAATTGATAATAATTTCTGGACTGTTGCAATATAACAATAAACCTAAAAGAATCACAACTTACATGTGCGCAAATTACACGATGCATATTAGACTGATTTTCTGGTAGTTGGGGTGCCAGTTGAAACGTTAGTTTTTCTATTAATAGACAAATCGACTGACAGTTATTGCATTGATATTGCATAAACACGGAACTGCTTTACTATTATTTTATAAAATTACCATTGTGAAATTTAATATTGTTTAATAATATTGTTAAATACCTAACAATACATATTCAATATATTGAATTATTTAAATTGGGTAACAAATACACTTGTCTACTTCATCAGACGTCTATCAATGGTTAAAAGTGAAATGTGATTTACACCATTTAATCCTTCATATAAGTCTGTTCTGAGTACTTACATATTTAATTGATAATAATTTTTGTTTTGTTGCAATATAACAATAAACCTGAAGGAATCAGAGCTTACATGTGCTCAAATTACAATATATATGAGAATGTTAATGTGCTAGAGCAAGTATGTGTTTGCGGAGGTGTCATCATAGATAAACGATATCAGTGGTCATTTGTCATGTCAGTAATTTATCGAAAGCCTTTCACTTATGATAAAATTTTGCGAACGGTAAGCAAAATTTAGTAATTTTATTATCAGTATCTCGAAAATATATAAAAAATATAGTTATTCCGTAACCTTTGGAAGACACGATTGTTTATACAAAAAGCACGTAATTATTTAAATAAATAATAAAAATCTATCGAATATCGTGTATCGATAAAATACTCGCGAAAAAATGAACTCGACAGTAGCGTCTAGTATTTTGACTAGCACCCAATCTAGTCTAACAAATACTACTCTAAATAGTAATTACAGTACAATTGGCACGGGCAGTAATATTTGGAACGCGACTTATAATTTTACAATCTATCCACCATGGTATGACAATTTTACAATAAATATACCTACTTTACCGACGATCACCGTCACCACTTACAACTGGGACGGTTATTACAGTTATATAATTGTAGTATGTATATTATTAATTTGTTTAGCGATCTCACAGGTATATAATATTTATAGAGTTTTTTAAATAATTCCTTATTAATCGAAATTATTTTTATAAGTTGGCAATACGTCATCGTCGCCAATTAATGGCAAGAGAAGCGGCATTACGACGTGCACGAGGTAAATATAAAACTTCAACTAATAGAATTTTTATTAATTATAAATATTACTGAAAGATAAATTTTAAACAGCTTTGATTGTCGCGGACCGTAAAAATTTCTTCCTAAGATTTAGTTTCGAAAAACTCCGATTCCGTAAACTCACAGACCCACAGAGCTTGAGGTATTATTGAAGGTTTAGTAAGAGTTTTTTTATAGTTTTTTTTAGGTATAATTGAAGGTTTAGCAAGAAAATTAAGAGAGATTGTAGTAAATTACATTTATTTTGATTTTCAAGACACAAAATAATTACCGTTCCATAGTTTTGATCAATATCAGATCAGTAACTTTAGATGCCTTTTAAGACTAGATGTGAACTTATTTCAAGAGCTAATCTTCTAGTAGTTCATGATAGGAAGAGCTTAGTTTAGGACGGTGCTTCAATAGTTATTTTTAAAGTGTTATTAGTAGACTTCTGCATTAAACACCCTCTAGATAGATATATAGACATCAGTTTTGGGGCACACTAGCTGTTCCCTTTTTGAAAGGGAAAACCAATTTCTCATGTTATTGAAATGGACAATGTCTTACGTTTAAGTCTTATATTTGCAATATTGGAGGAACATTTGAGGGAGGTATATCCTAAAATTGATTGACTTAGGATAAGTGCAGGATAAGTGATACTTTTCTCTACAAACCAATTTTTTATATTAATGAAACAAATAATGTCCTATGTTTAAGTCCTATATTTGCAATATCGGGAAAATATTTGAGAGGGATGAAGTGGATAAATGACTTCTGCCAAGTGACAGAGTAGATGAATGATACTTTATTCTATAAAATAATTTTTTATTTTAATGTGACGGGTGATCTATTCAATTGCGATTTCGGACAAATATTTGCCTAAAGATCCCTAAAGTAAATAAACGACTTTTGAAAAATGTTGGACAGTGACAGAGCAGCTGAGTGTCAGACACTTTCCTTCATCTTATTTTAGCCATAGCTACAATGGTAGTCATTAGAAAATAACGCTTGACTGTCAGCACAAAAGCCTGTATTATAACATATCTACTACTTCCAGATTGTTTAAACTAGATTTCAAAATTAATATAATACGTTATATATACTCCAGTATCTATTTACTAGTTTCATTTCACAGAATTTTTGAGTATTTCCTAATTTCTTTAATGTTCTCTTCTTAAGCCCCAATGTTGTATTTCTCTAATCTCTAATAATTTCTCTAATCTTCTAATTTAATTTCTAATATGTCTGTTCGGTTGTATGTTCCACTTTGTGACAGTGCATCTTGTGCAAACATAATCTCGAGATCTATGACTTTAGTTTACAATTGCCCAAAGGCAAATACTTAGCCATGGGTTTGAGGGGCTAAAGACCCCCGAAATAAGTTGAAGGATTATATTTATATATATGTATATGCATTCTTAATGCATTTCGATGTACAATGGAATAAGTATTTTTTTTGAAATTACGGTAATAATATGAAAGCCCTCGAACTACATTTCTAGCTACGGGTCTATCCAAAAGTATAGGTCCCATGAAGACTCGGAATGACAAAAATTATATTAAAATCACTTTTCTCCGTTTCTCTAGCGGTAGATAATGATTACATTATAAATAATATATGAGTACAATTTTGTTCCATAGATCAGGTTTGGTTAGGCTAGGTTAGACGTGGTAGCATTATGCGCCAAAGTTAAGTTAAACACAAATAATGGATAGTTATAATACCACAGATTATTCGATACCATTAAGAACTATATAATTAATATTTTTTTAATTATATATTCACTTTGATTCTACTTATAACATATTAAAATTAATAAGAACAACGGGAACTGCAAAATGATTCATATATTGTATTTTTCATAATTTCACAATCAATCAAACCAATTTAAATATTTATGACGTAAATGTATTAATCATTCCTAGAATAAAAAAATTGTTACATTATATTTTGTACCCTTTCGTTATTACTTGACTAATATTATTTTATCTATAATAGATGATTTAAGCACTGAGGTAACTTGGTTTCATTCCAAATTCGTCAAATGTAATTGCATTCCATGCACTCTTTATGCTTACAATAGTTAACTTATAAAATTTGTTTAACAGCTTGCACAAATCCGAAATTTATTAAACCCACATATAGATAATAAAGGTTAAGTTTGAACATAGACCATTTCTCTTGTACGTATAACCCAATGCGTGCCATACGCGAGGGCTGTAGTAATTTCTGTTCATGAAATGAGGATTGTACGCAGCATTTGGACATAACCCAGAAAGCGGTCATACGATTTTGTGTATTTAACGTAGACTCAATGCCACGTATTAAATCATTCGTCTTTAGTATAAGTAGCATTTGACGATCTACTTGTTCCAACACATCGGATATATGTGGCAGTACTGATGATGTGTTATTTTGCAAAGTATTTTTCTGAAAGTAAATTTTTATATATAATTTTTCAACTCATTTTTAGAGAGCAGATTACAAATAATTACCTCATCTGTAGTGTATTTAACTTTGCTTATGCCTTGTGTAACCGTTTCCCATGGTCTACCAGTTACCATACAAGCGAACAGACCATATAAATCGCCTTTTATGCCCAAGTTTTCACTATGTTTACGCATTCCTTTACGATCTACACTCAATATACTCAACCACAGATTCGAGTATTCATAACGAAATTTATCTGTTAGATTCGCATATAAACCGTGATCCAATAAAATTATATCAACATTCCCGCTTGAATTCTTGTGCACCAATATATTACCAGGATGTGGATCGCTATGTACAAAACCCGTTGTAAATATCATTTCTGAATATAATTGTCCAATTTTATTTGAGACGGTAAATGGATCTATTTTATGTTTTTTAATATAATCTAAGTTCGTCACCTCGCCACCTTCTAAAAATTCCATGACTAACACACGTGCAGTGCTATGTTCCCAATAGATCTTTGGCACACGTAACCAAGAATATTTTTGAAATTGTTTTGCCACCTTTTCAGCATTTTTGCCCTCATTTAGAAAATCTAATTCTATGGGTAAATTTTTTTTTGACTCTTCCACGAGCCAATGAATTTTAAAATCAGGGAAAATACGTGCCATTATCTTTACTAATACTTCCATTGTTTTCATATCTACCAAAGAATTACCCTTTACATACGGATGTTGTACTTTAACGGCTACTACTTCGCCGGTCTTCAAAGTGGCCTTATGGACTTGTGCTAGTGAAGCTGTACCCAGTGGTTCAAGTTCAAAAGTTGCGAAAATTTCTTCTGGATTTCTCTTTAGATCTTGTCGTATCACCTTATAAAGGTCTTCTACAGGATTTTGTGGTGCATTCGAATGTAATATTTTCATAGTTTGTACAAATTCTTTGGGCAGTAAATATTCCAATGCTCCAATATGTTGTCCAACTTTAATATAAACTCCTTTATTCGTACATATTAATTCTAATAATTTTTCTGCGGCTATTTTGTGTGCATGGCTCTTTTGGGCCTTATATTCTGGAGTTGTCTTATCCCATTCTTTGTAGTAGAGTTCACGTTTGTATGTAGCGGCTATATCGAACACAGTGATGGCGGATCTGCCGAGGCGCACGATTCCCAGTGAGTTAACGTCATAGTCATTCGTATGCAAACTTAATCCTGTACTAACAGCTACTCCGCCTAAAAGGCCATACGACAGCACGCGTCGAAACATTTATGATAAATTTAGTATCAAATATGCTATGATCTAAAAATAAAATGGAAAATATAAGTAAAATAAGTGGGCACTCAGCTGTAAATAAAATATGTTAAATCGTGTCGAAAGCCATTGGCATCACAAATTAAATGAAATCAAAAATTCCGTTATGTGAAAGATTATGTTGGGCAACTTAAAAAGGATTATGTTAAGTCAAAACTGACAATGTAACCTTTTCACTTCCAAAAAAGGTAATTTCATTAAATAAAAATAAAATAGCACATATAGCAAGAGCTTATAGTAATTATATAGCATTATAATAAGAATAATTAAAATCTTGAAAAAGAAATATATATTTGAACTCAGAATGAGATTTTTATAAATAAAAAATGTTTATATCAAGTTTTCATTGTAGCTAAAACTACTTATATTAATGAAATTAAAATTTAGTCGTTTCCATTGACATAAGTTAATTTATATATATCAAATAATTTGTTTGTTTACATTTTACATAGAAAACATGACAAATATTTCAAATTTGTTTCACAAGGATGATTTCCCTTGCGGGAAATTTGTTATTAAGAGTTGCTTTCGACATTTTTCGCCTTAAATCAGTTGATTTATTTATAAAGAGTTCATTTATAAGAAATCTTTTTGTTTAGTAAATTATCATCATTAGTAGCCTTAATAATGTTAATACTTCATATTTATTATCTAAATCTGTGAAGAAATATTTTGGTATTTTCTTCTACTGCTTTGGATCGGTATTTTCTTCTACTATAATTTCATTACAAATATCATCTTGTGGTTGGGGAAATTCAATTTCATTCTGCATATCCAAAGACCAAGTATCTAAAAATCTTTCATTTTTTCTTTCCACAAAGTTGTGCAATATCAAACACGCTAAAGCAACAAAAGGTACGAACTCTGGGTCAATGTCCATTGTTTTTAAGAGGCATCGCCAGCGACCTTTTAATCTACCAAATACGTTTTCTACAAAAATTTTTCCTAATCTAATATGATAGTTAAATGACTCTTCTTCAGGATTTAGACAGTCAGTATATGGTTTAATAAGCCACGACAGCAATGGATATGTAACATCTCCAATTATCATTAGCGGTATCGGTAGTCCATTGATATCAGTAGTGTAAGTTGGAATCACTTGTGTCGAATATTTGTAAAGTCCTGACTCTTTAAAAACGTCAACGTTATGGTAGCTGCCTGGTAATTTAACACTTACATCACGAAACCTAGAATATGCAAAAATCAATGTAACGTTTGTGCATTTTTAAAATAATCTTACAATCTTTTCAACTTACAAATAGTTATTATCAACTACTGCTTGCATAACTATTGACGGCCAACCTTTTTTATTTCTGTAGTGTTGGTACTTCTGATCAACATTTAGTTCCTTGCTTACCATCAATTGCGCCAATAATATTGGGTATTTTAGTCATTTTTTGAAAGGCAGTACCAATGGTTTTTGCTAATTGGAAAATTGGAATTTGGAAAATATAAATATTCCTTCCGAAGCTGTAATATTGCTTTAACCACGAGATGGAAGTACTTATGCACAGTACTTGTATGCACGCCAAACACATCGCCTACGGCACGATACTCTGCGCACGAAGCAAGTTTGTATAGGTACAATGCGACTTGTTTAGGAATCGGCATCGGTGCTGTCACATATACCTTCGGATATGGAAGATAAGGACACATTTTTTTACAAAACAAATTGAGAGTCTTTACCCATGCGAAAGTACACATAATAAAGATGTTCGTTTCCTCCTTCTTGTAGGAACCTCATAAAATTATCAAACCGCTTTCGTCGGTGTAAGCTTCGCACTCTGGGAACATTGACTTTAAAGAACATTTCTGGCAGCCGACTTTGCAATGCTAAAATATCTCTTAAATATTTTTTTTTATTATTTGAACTTTGCAAAATTTGTTGATTGGAAATCAAGAATTGTTGACAAACAAGCATTCTTCTTGTTCGTAGTCGCTCCATCAAATAAGAGGAAAATATTTTAAATTCTTTAACTTCCATATTTTTGATTCTATCGACTGCACAAATTATTTTATTATCAAAACATCATAATTCGCTTTGTTTTTAAAAAAACAGCTGATTTTGTATCACGATTAGAGATGCTTCAAACGTGTAAGTACTCGGTAGTTTTTTCGAAACCAATTACTTTTGTATTCGGTACTTGAATTCGACACTAAGCAAGTACTTAATATCAAAAGAAAGGTATGTACTTGATATTGAAAAAAAAACTTACAAATTAGGCAATTCACACTGCCTAAACTAAGGTAAAATATTGATAATCGAATTCAAATCCGTATTACTCTCGATTTTTCTCCGCAAAAACAAATTTATATTTCTTAGTAAACAAGCAAGACTTCGAATTTACGTTCGAATTTAAATACGTATTATTTTCGAATTTTGTCTGCGAACAAAAGTTTGTATTTGTTAGTGAATAAGAATATATAAAAAAATTTTGAGCATTTGGTGACACCAATTTTTAATTACGAACTTTGGCAGTACAGTTTTGAACTCCAAATCAATTACCAAAGTTGTTTCTTATATAAAAGTAGGCACAACCAAAGTTCGGATTTCATTAAAAGTTATACCATGTTTACATTATAAACTTTAGTGGTAGAAGTCGATTTTAACCTCAAAACCAGTTACCAAAGCTTATTTCTTTGTACAAAACAGGCCAAACCAAAGTTCGACTTTCATTAAAAGTTAGATTCCTTGAATAACTTTTCTTATATAGAGAAAAGTTATTAAATAAATAATATAAATAATATATATATCGAAATAATATATCTTTTTAATTTTTAATATATTTGATTACAAAGAAAACAAATATACCAAATCTTATAAGAAAAGAAATATTAACCAACTCAAGCCGTAATCAAACAAAAAGACAATAAAAACAAAAGCTGTCAAAATTAAAACCCGTTAGGATGATGTAAATCTATGACATTTGGGAACTAACTTTACCAAAATTCAATAGCTAAAATTCGTAATTTATACATGATATTACAAGCAAAAAAACCATCTTTATTTTGTATTTTATATATTTCAGAAAGTATCCATGAGTACAAGTATCTATATTATAATATAACAACATTTAGTTGTTGGGTTTTGTATTTATTTTTAAAAACTTTAAATCCCGATATTTTGAGAACTAAGGTACATCGGCTCTGAACACAAACGTGCTAGTGTACCTATTTTTTTTGAAGGAAAATTGAATTACTGGTCTACACTTCAAGTGTGCTAAACCAACTTACATTAATCAATTGTTTCCATTAGCATAAGTGGATTTATGCATGTAATAGTGCGTTTATGTTCCAGAAAGTTCTGTGAAAGTTTTAGGAGAGCTTCTATTTGCTTGCATTTCAATTGTTAACAAATAAGATTCAATTTTGTATTGTTTGCAGAAATGATTTAATTTTTACTGAAATATGCTATAACTAGGGATTTTCCTTTGTAGAGTTAAATCAAGTTCGAGTTAAATCAGCTGATAGCATTGGTGTTTTTTATTAAGGGCTATAAATAAAGATATAATTTGATCATATGATCATAAGTTGAAACCGACAAAACAGCTGTGGTCAGTGATCACATTTTTTACTTATCATAAATACGACATATATCAAGTTAAAATCTTAACCTTGTTAAATTCACAACAATAATTACATGAATTTTTTTTTATCAATTAAAAAACATAAAAAAAACTTATTAAAATTAAACTTGAATGAAGATTTTATTAAAATCATATTTATTGAGCAAATTTAACCTTTCACAATTGTGAGTTGAACTACGACTGCTACTTCTAAATCTTAAAAAGAGTTTATAGAGTATCAGATCTTATGTTTACATTTTGTAGTACTATAAATTATGAAGAGATACCTATACTACTTATATTTATATTTACATTTGGTTTCATCTATATATAAATATCTCTGTGGCGCGGGAATCAAATGACAAATGACAATTCATTGACTCAGGATATTTTCATTATTAGTTTAGATAAAACTATATTTATTCATTGTTGCCCATTATATTGTATTGTGTATGAGAAGAGGACGTAACTCATGTACCCCATTTATTCCAATTTATCATGATTAGGCATTTCTAATGATATATTACGTAGTGACTGCAAAGCATTAAATTTGATATTATATTCCATTTCAGTTGACAATAAGATAACAATTATTTGTATTTTATGTATAAAAATAGTTTTTACATAAAAAGTTTTATTTTACAATAGAAAAAGGGTTTTTGTAGAAACGGATTTAAATACAAAAATATTCAAACCTGTGCTTTGTGTTATAAATAAGCAATACATTTTAATTAGAAATTTTTTAATTTTTACCTAATCACAGATGTCAATATTACACACCTTGTAATCTAAGGAAAGTTACAATTTGTTATCACATAAATTAATATCACTCAATGTCATTTAATGTTATTTAAAAAAAAAAGCAATTAAGAATGCATTTTTAAGATGATAAACTGACTATAATATAATTTTTTAATTTTTTTATTAATATTAATTTTATTTTATTATAATTTTATTTTACCTTTTTATGTAAAGACTTAAAATAAGTTATAGAGTTAATGATCATTAGCGTTAATAGTCCAAAGGTATGTCATTTATGAATTTAATTATAAATATATTTTTATCTTCAATGATAAAATTAATTTTATTTATTATTGATAAATTTCATATTTATTAAATTGTTACGTTAACACTTCGTTAATATTTTTTTTCAATTATTTAATTGGCACAAATTATAGTCTTTACCCCACTTTTAAAAAATTTCAACTCATATTGTTAATGTTACATTATAAAGTCCGTGAAATGATTAATGAACTTTATTGCTATTTATCACAACTGTTAAGCTCATTTATTATCATTTTAAGCATTCCATTTAAAATAGAAATTAAAAAACTATTCATAGAAAAAGTTCAAAGGTTTCCACTTAAACTTGACCTCATGCAATCTCGCAAATTTTAGTGCAATCTGCTGAACTCTTTTTTTGTACGCCGAATGAAAAGCGTGCGCGTCTATGGTATTTGGCCTGTTTACCGACGATTCTATTTATTTTTAAAACTTTCTCTTTACTGACAACGCAAGTGACGTGTATTACATAAACAATGAATATAGTCGGTGAAAATAATTGGCAATTTAACTTACGTTTTATTATTGAACACACGTTTGCAATAATTTCACATGCGTATTTTAATAAAAACACGCGAAAATATATTAATTTTGATTATAACGTAGACGCAAACATGTTTTTGTGGAAGTAAACATTAATCAATGCGCGGCGCACCTCGTACAACTTGAGGAATCAACAATAAGATACTAATATCATTTGGCCTAACAAAACACAACATATGTTGCGCTGCTAACAACCCTGTATTTTTATCAACAGGTGATTGGACAGAGTTGCCAAAACGCTTTTTATACAAGTAGGGAACATGGGTAGAATAGTACAATTGTACTATGTTCAAAATAAAATAAATAATATATATATAAAGAAAATAAAATAAAATTAAGTTAATTTGGAAAATGGTCAATGGAAAACTGCCCCAAATTAAGGAAATCATTTGCTTTTTGCTTAAAAATCAAAGGTTAAAAATTACATGCTTTAAACACGATTTGTAACTGGAAAATTTTAAAAGTTGGTTATTATAACTATAACGGATGGCATTCAGTAGTTGTATAAGCTATATTAGGTATGTGAATTATTATTTTTCACTCTATTTAAAACTAATAACAGTTACAGTATTTTTTCTATATTTAAATTTAAAAATTTGCACTACTTTCAAAAAATTTTCCTGATTATTTCCTGATTAACTGTCTGACATTTATTTTAAAAAAATGTCATTTTTTCGTTATCTCAACTTTATCTTTTGCTTAAAATTAATCTTACGCATAGTTGCATTTAAAATGTCCCTTAATTTCAGCATTCGTTTCAATGAAATTAGGCCCATTTTTCTTAATATCATTTTAACGTAATGTTATATTAAATAATGTTATATTCAATGTTATATTAAATAATAATGGATTTATATTTCTTTCAGCACGTCAACGGGCTTGTAACAATAATAATGCAAATAACAACAACCAATCAGGAGGAAACGTAGTCATTGAACTTCCCCAACAACCGAAAAATGATTTGCCACCAGCTTACAATGAGGTCATGCAAACGTATTTAAATGAGAAACAGCGTCTAGAAATGGAGAGCCAGCAAGGTGCTGTGGGTGGTATGCCCACTGTAAACTCTACTGCTACAATAGAGACCGTTATTAGTACCAATAATAGCGCCGTAGATTTAACGACAACAACGGTGGTAATGAGCAATCCACCACCTTATCAGAGTAGTATATAATTTTGTTAATACATAATTATAACCTTAAAAACATTCTACTTATGTATAAAGAATATTCATACTTTCCTTATATATATATAATTCCTTAGATAAAAATTATTAACAAAATATTGTATATATTTGCACTAATAAATTTTATAATAATCTCACTTTGGTAAATAAATTCTCTACGATTATAACATAAATGAAATTGTTTTTATTCATAAAATAACTTAGCTAAACAAAAAATATTTATATAATGAAATATATAAACACTACTCACCTACGCCTTCCCCATTCGGTTTGCAACCTCTTCCGCCCAAATGGAAAGAATCCGCCTGTTTGAGCGGAAACTTCTTCAGGATTGCACAAACTATAAGCGCAAGCCTGACGGCAAGCACTTCTCCATCTCTGTATTTTACGATAATCTCCACTCCATTTCCCTATATAACCGCGGCTTTCGTGATCCCACTCACAAAGTTTTCCGCTAACCTCGCTAAATAAATCTGGCTCGCTAGGTACTAAGTCTATTTTTTCTCCTCCCTCCCCTGATTACTGGAATGAAGTTTTCACAATGCTGAGGAAATCTTCTCCATTCATTTCTAAGACGTGGTTTAGTGGGTTTAAGTCTCACACGGTGGCTTTCAATGCTTTCACTTACTGTCAAAAAAAAAAAAAAACACTAGCCAGCGTTTACGTAGTAACCAGTTTTTAGTGGAGTTTAATGGATCCATAGACAATATAAAAATTTTTTATAAATTATACTTAATTGGAAATCAATCAACTATACAGTATCTGGAAAAAAAGGTAATTAACTGTATAGACAAAATAGATCTGGCCCAACTTGAATCAACATAAAACAGTAGGCTAAATACTTATTTCTTAAGAATAAATTCTCTGTTTATTCCTCATTGATTCCTGTATCAACTGCAACTCTATTTCTCATGACCTCGCTTACCGTTCAATTGTTATACGAATTGTCATAAATCTGAGCACTTTTGAAATGTGACTTCATTCTATAGAGATTGCAAGATTCTATAACTGTGGGACCAGTTAGATTAAGTCTCCTCTCCCATCCTTCCTCTCATACTAAATTCTACAATTGATTTTATACTTCATCGTCGAGATCCTACTAAGGTGGTAGAATTTAGTATAGTTTCTACCTTTACTGCGAGTTATATAAAATTGTTTATTATATTTAAATTTATTATGCAAAAGATTCACTTTTTTTTTTGGAAGATTTAAAAAGTTTTGATTGTTTTAGATAATAGTCAAAACTGGATTATAGTTAAAAATTCTCAGAATTATTACTATGCTTGTATGAATATTATTATAAGAAGCCAGAGTACATTGCCACCATAATAAATCTATTGTGCATAGCTTTGCACAATAGATTAAAACCTCTATAACTAGGCTTTTTTATAAACTTTAACACTATTTGGGGTGTAATATTTCACAGTACTATATATGAAGCTATAATAATATCACCTAAATAATGAAACCTTCGTCAACTAAGAGCTGAGCATTCTAAGAGATTGTGCTATAAGTTTTTGGTGTCAACAGACATCAGGATCGGAGACCATTGACTTATTTAAGTCATACCGCGGAATGCTGTAAACAAATCGGATAATCCAATTATAATACTAATATGAAATATATCGAATGCTAAATAATATATGTGTTCAGCATTCGGGATTGTAAGTAACTACAATATCCAAAAAAAAAGAGTCCCACAGAAACTATCGCAATTACTTTGTCAAATTATTTACACCATGATGTATAACAGCACTGTCCAAAGTACGGCTCGCGAGCCACATACGGCCCATGACTTGTTTTTAACCACAATTAAACAAATTTTCTTTTGGTGTACTAGTGAAACTTTCAGGTTCCATTCTTACAACGTGAGCTGCCCATTCCAGCCTTTGTGCTTTAACAAATCTGACTATATTTCCATTTTTAAGCAAGTTATCAATATCGTTGTGTGTTCGTCTTCTGAATGTCTCGTCGTCCTGAAAGTAATCCTACCAATATATTTAATGATAATCCGTTGACAAGGCATAGAGGTAGACCGAAGTTGAGATGAAAGGAAAACGTGTACGAGGACGCCAGAAAGCTCGGAGTTTTGAATTTGAAAACAACTGCAAAAGATCGAAGCAGATGAAGGCAGGTTGTGAAGAAGGCCAAGGTTCATACTGAATTGTAGTGCCAAATAAGATGTACTGGTAAAAATATATTATTTTATTTTTATGGTATACCAAATAAATAAATTGAAATTGATAAATTAATAAAAGTAAATTTAAAATAATAACCATATTTTTATTTTTGTCAAAAGCGGTCCCCAATCTGTACAGTGATTTGTATTGACCCGCGATCTCATTTGGTGTGGACAGCCCTAATGTGCTATATCTGTATAATCACAGCCTTAGATGTTGCGTAGCGTTTTCATGCAGTTATTAAATAAATAAAAACTTTTATTTTATTTTAAATAATTTTTATTGTTTTGTATATGTTAACAGATTACAATTGAATGATGAATTTTTTAAAAAATCCTCAAAATCATTATTAATATAATTACATCAAATATTGAATATGTTGTTATAACTAAATGGACTTACTTTTTCAATCAATACTTAATCTATAAAATTTTAATTTTCAATAATTCACTTGTAACGACGAGTTTAGTATAACCCACTCTTCACTTAGTGAATTTTAAACATACAGATTTTATGGTACACAATACAACATTGTTGCTGTTGTATATTTTGTTGTTTTTTTTTATTATTTTTTTGTACACAGCTCTTGCATTTTTATTGTTGCTATTCGTCTTAATTAATCAGCCCTTAAGTCAACTCGAATGTATGTGAACAGCTATATAATAGTTGTGCAATAAAAATCTCGTTAGGTTTGAAAATTTCGGTAGCAAAGCTCTGTATGAATAATGTTTAATGTTTAAAAACTAAAATCTAATAAACATATTTCTTTATTAAAAACTTAATTTTTAAAACATTCTACGACTCTAATTAGATAACAAAACTAATAACTTAAAGACTAGAACACAAAAGTTAAACATTAAATGCAGAACATATTTAAAGCAATTTTTTTTAATGTTGACTACTAATAATAATTCACAGTAATAGTAAATTAAGAGGGCCATTGGGTGCCATCATTAATATATGACAATATTTATTATGTATTTAATTATCAACCAATTTCAATTATTTCGTTATTTCTGAATTTACATCAAAACTTATTTTATTGAATATTGTAACATAGTTAAACTCCTGCCACACAGACGTATAGTGTTAAATACATTCGTCTAAACATGCTGAGTAAGAGTCTATATAGATTATATAGTGTCGTACGCCTCATTTACTGCGCTATATACATTTTTACAAAATATAACATTCTTTTATTTATGATAAAAAAATTTTAATAATTTATTAACGAGCCAATTGGTCAATTTAAATAAAAATAAAAACACTATAATTTATTATATATATATAAAAACAGTTTATATTTTATTTCTATTTAAATTGATCAATTAGCCCGTTAATAAATGATCAATTTTACAAATTTTATATTCCTAATATTTCACAGTTAATATTTATTAACCCAGTGAGGCAATAACACACAACTTGAAAACTGTACATATTTAAGTGCAATTAACGTATATTCGAGCTCGAATATTTTGATCGAAAGCTACGAAAAAATTTGAGCTGCACGAACAACTGATCTATTAAAATAAAAAATAGAAATTCTCGAACAATTCGAATAATATTTAAAGCACTATATACTTATATAAATAAGTTTTAGTCTTAAAAACTACTCTTCCGCTTCTCACAAAATAAAATAACGTATTTTAATTTGACCTTTATTTTTGATCAATTTATCAATATTGAAATTTATATGATATATATATTTTTAACTTAACAACTACAACATGTTTTATCAGATTAATAAAGTTTGAAAAATAAATCCAAATATTTAATTGTTATCAATTTAACTTTACTGAAGCTATAATTTAACAAAGGTGCAATCGATTACATTAATAAAGGTAGTTAAATTATTATTATTGATTTATCACAAATTTTTTTATTAAATAATTAATAATAACTAAATGTATTCTTTGGTTGATACCCAAAATACATCCTAAATTGAAAACAGAATTTTTTATATAGTATTTTAATTTAATTAAATAAATAACTTTAAATTTAATAAATTTTGTGTGATGATATTGCGTACAATTTCTTATATTACAGTGAATGTTGTTCTTAATAATTAAATATTAATCGATTTTGATAATTCATTTTATCTTTGCACTGTCATTTTTTAACTCTTAGGTATACATTAAAATTAGCCTCATTGAAATTGTTTTTATTATATTGACAACTTTATTTACATATTTTTAGTTTTTTAAATTTTCAAACTGCTTTGTACATTTCCTTTAAATTAGACATATTGTGAGTTAAATTTATTAAATACAATAGCTGACATTATAAATCAAGCTAATATATGTATATTAAATATGTGTTTGTATATTATTTTTACAATGTGTAAAATAAAAATTGAAAATATCTTATATTCTTAAAGAAATTACTTAAAAATTTTATTTTGTTAGAACATTACCGAAAACTTATAAAAAATATATAAAATAAAATATTTATTCTTTAAAAAAATTGATGCAAAAAAAAATAGTTTTTCCAAAAGTATTTTAAAAAAAAATATTTTGAAAAAATAATATAATACGTGTAGATAAATCATTTATACAAATTTAATAAATTTATTAATTTTACACATTAGATAAAAATAATTTATAAAAATATGTTTAAAGAGAATTTTATTTTAAATAACATTCGTGAATATATTTTTAGTATGTTAACAATATTTAAATAAAAAAATTCTTAAGGAAAAATCGTAGAATAAATTAATTTTTATTCGAAACAAATAAGCATTATAAAAGAACAATTTAATTTTTAACCTCAGAAGTTAAACTAATTGATATGATACTATTTTGCAATTTTATGTCTAATAGTATCTATCTAACATTTACATATATACAAATGTATAAAATAAAATATGAATGTACCATATATTGTATATATATATAGAAATGTATAGCATATACATAAAAAAGTAAAATATATGTACATACAAACGTATATATATGTTTATATGTAAAAAAAAAATATTTATATGTTTCATTAAATTTTTTAAGATTTATTTTTTAATGACAGAATTCTCAAACCACATCAGTCATTATAATATATAACTAACTATTTAAAAAAAATTACCCGAGATGTATTTTATTCTCAATATTAAATCTATCAAATCAAATTGACAGAACTTTGAGAATTTTGGTATGTTAGTATTTTAATGAAATACTACGTGTAGGATTAGTTATTTTACAATAGATAATCAGTTTCATATAATAGAACTATCTACCTGCTTAGATCTTATTAAATATAATATAAATTCTTAAATTGATAATTTTCATATTAGCTAATATTAAACTTAATGTATTTGTGTGCAATGGTATTAACAAGAAATACATGATTTTTGTTTAATGAATTTTATTTACCCATGAGGTCACACTTATAATACATATATAACATGTTACATATTTATACGGAATGCTAGATTCTTACAAATAGATTTATATCAATTGAGAGAGATTTCAAACTCATTTTTATAAAAATTTTTTAATTTTTTTTTGGTAATAATATGGCTGAATTTTCGTTGTGTAACGATTATCTTTAGTCGCTATAACTGTTGTTGCTTTTGAGTTTAAGATAACGTTAAGAGTTGACGAAGTTAACGAGAAATTTGATAAAAATCTATTTGAAATTACAAGATAATATATAAGAAATATAAATCAAATGTTTCATATAATTATTTAGCATGGTGTTAAATATGTGTGTTTATCGGGGAATTTTTATCTTTAGAATATTGACACTTCACAAACAAATATACAAATAAATTTGATTTCAAACCAAAATGTATGTAAATACAATTTACTATAAAATAAGACTTAATAAAAGACGATAGAAATGAAGTCCTTCAAAATTATTGAATCTCTCTGACATTATGAATACAAAGATTTAGTTTATAAATAAAAAGAACTCATACTACATTATATATATAAGACTAAATCCACACTTGTTAAACAATTTTCAACGTTTAATATGTATATATGTAAGCATGACTATTGGATAAAACTATACATTTTTAAAATGTGTTTGTAAAATATGTACATTTTAACGTTATTTCATATTAACGAACAATTACATTTTTATGAAATATATAAAGTACAACATTTTTATGAAATATATAAATTACAACATTTTTATGAAATATATAAGTTACAAAAAAAATGTAAATAAATCAATAAAAAATAATGAAAAAAAAAAATAAATAAATTAAAAAAGAAAAGTAAAAAATATTTCAAAAAAATAAATAAATTAAAAAAGAAAAGTAAAAAATATTTCAAAAAAATAAAAAAAGAAAAATCAAAAATTTTTCCAAAAAAAAAAAAAAAATTAATCAAAAAAATATAACCAAAAATATATTAATAAAAAAAAATTTTATCCATATATGCTATATTTTCCTATTCAGTATTGAATCCAAAGTGGGTCCAAATCTACCATATGGATCTTTTGGCAACATAAAAATGTCATCACACCACGTATAGCCTAGTACGCGGTTTTCGATTAATTTTTTGAATGCAATATTTTCATCTATCAAATCTCGATAATTATCATTCGAGATTATGACTGCATCTTGCTCAGCAGCTAACTGCAGAATAAAACTATAATAAAAAGAAAATTAAATAAGTTTATTATAAATCTTATCAATTCCAATATGACTTACCGATCATCATACGAATTGCTTGCCATACCAGGCAGATTCTTACATGGAGTGAAGACGATTTTTCCGTTTTCATAATATTTTTCTAGACTAGCTGGATCTGATGATTTAGATTTTTGTAGTCGGAATTGTGGTACAACTGCTTTAACCCGATGGCCCATATTTTCAAAATAATCTAAACAGATTTTAAGACCACGGACTGAAAATTCTTTATTTCTGCTATGGCTATAATAGAGAATTTAAGACAAAAAGTATTAAAAATATATATTTAAGAAAATTAAATTTAAATTAAAATTATAAATTAATTTCAAAGAAAAAAAATTTAAATAAAATTCATAAATATTGATAAAAATTTATAATTTGCAGTTAGGGTAGTAATTGGGTGGTAATTGGCATTAAAAAAAATATTCTCAAGCCTTTACATAAATTGAGCTTTCAATATACAAGCCTCAGATCACCGCGAATTCAAGTCTCCGATAATAATCCGGAAAAAAATTAGAAAAAACAAAATATGCACTATATGCCTTAGGGACGGGATAGGGAAGGTAATATGAAGATGGAGAGAAGTAAGGTAAGGATGAATGTTGTAAGGTTGTTAAAACATCTAACCAGGATGGAGATGAAGAATATTGGCAACTCGGCGGAATGATGTCATAAATAAATAGGTTCATTTTAGCCCATGTAGTCCGGATCGATTACTGATTTGCTTGTCCGGATCTTATTGTCTGGTGAAAAAAATCACGTTTAAAGATTATATGCTTACACGTATGTATGTTTCTTTCGTCTATGTATACGCTTTGTTTAGTAGTCGCTTAGATGTTATATTTTTTCGTTTTGCATTAGCATTATCTAAATTACGGACTTATAAAATGATCAGAAGATTACTGTTTAATTTGTGTTCTTGAAATAAATATGTATGTTGACCCTTTTTTTTTCAAGCCAGCGCAACTGGGCACTTTTACTCTTTGATAGCTGGGGGTACTATAGGGTCCCACCCATCTCATTGACTAATTTGTAAATCTCTCATAAGCTTCATAATTATCCAGTGATTGATCTAAGATCTGCGTACCTCCCCGTGCGGAGACTGATTACTCTAAGATTAGATAGTGGTAAGTAGGATACCCTGTCAATTTTCGCATATAACTTCAAGGCTCTGTCCCTTATGTATTTTTTGATCGGGTCTATTCTAAGGTGTCTTAGTATGTCGTTTGTGCGGATGTAGCAAGGCACTTTGAAGAGTCTTCGGAGAACCCGACTTTGAGCGACTTGTAGCTTTTGTATAGTAGAGTCAGCAGCTTTGCTATACGCGACACACCCATAAAGTAATGCTAATTATCTGGCTATAGATCAGTTTTCTGTTCTTCACGCTTAAGTTGTTGTGTTTGAAAAGTGGTTGTAAGCATTGCAGGGTTTTAGCGCAACTACTTCTTTCGACTTGTATATGCTTATGCCAAGTGAATCGCTTATCAAGCGTGATACCTAAATATTTAATGCTATCCTCCCAATTAATCACAATGTCACCAACTCTTACTCTCGGTGGATGTTGCCTGTGTTTACGTATAATAAACAGGGCTTTAGTTTTCTCTTTGTTAATTTTTATTTTCCATTTATGGAAGAACCCCAGGATGAGATTAATATGCTCCTGCAGCATGTTGGTGACATTTCTGGCAAGTTTATCAGAATATAACAAGCATGTGTCATCTGCGTATAATGATAATACCAAAGGACTTAACATTGGGATGTCAGACGTGTAGATGTTGTACAACAAGCGCATATAAATTTTTTTCTGGATTTTTAATATGACTGCTGCAATCCGAAAGTTTCAGTAATTATAGACCCGGATTAAGTCGGATCAGGATATACCGGATAGAATTTTAACGGAGTTTTAATGTATATACATTATATATATAAATCACAATATAATAATTTTAATTATTTATTAGAAAAATATTTTTAGATACCTGTATGCCACATTACTGCCATCGATTATGATCATTCGCTTTCTCAAGATTTCCACTGTGCCAGGATTATAAGCATTTGTATTATATTGCATTAATTTTTTCTTCTCACTTTTCGTAAATAAAGAATTATTCCGCACCATTTTTGCCCGTATGCAATTGATTACATATTGTGATGACTAAGGGGAAAATAGATAAATAACTTTTGCAACAAATAAGAACCAAACATACATTTGATGTATTGTCAGTATTTGTAGAATTAAGGGGAATATAATCTGGTGATTTTGAATCACTAACAAACAAAACACTATCATCACTATCGTCATTTACTGTTTTTGGTTTTAATGTGGTATCTTCAAAAGTTTCATCCAACACAATTATATCCTCAGGTCTGAAATGTGATTTTGCAGTTGAGTTCTTTGTAGAATGTTTAGGCGGAGTAACTTTATCAGGTGAGTTGATACTAGTTAAAGTTTTATCTCCAGTTGTATCAATCCACCATTTAGGTTTCTTCTCTTCAAAAAAATTGGACTCTTTTTTGACTTCACTGCCTTCTTTTTGTGATATTGGCGTAGATGAGAGGAAATTTGAAGGTTCGTAGTTTTCCAGATCTATTGAAACGAGTTCTGGTTCCACGCAAATACAATCATCGTCGATGATATTTTCTTTACAATTTGATGCAATTATCAAATTTTTGCGGACAGAAATAGTTGGTTTATTGACTTTCGAAGCAGTTATCTCCGCTGTTAAATCAATTTTATCTTTAATACGTTGCTTCTTATGTTTCCACTCAACTTCTCTTGCGTTCTGCATTGCATTACGCTTTAAGGTACGATTCATGACGGTCCGCTTTATTCTTTTATAATAAGATTGCGATGCAGATCTATTTAAAATGTTATTTTTATATTTTGCCTAAAAGAGAATTTAATTATTATAAAGAATTTATACCAAAATTTAGTTTGGAGTTCTATTTTCGTACAAATTTTCTAATACTATACACCATGTAGTTTTAAATACATTGCGTTAGAGGTCAAACCAAAAAGTTTCAGAACTTAACTAAGGGAAAAAAGAATGCCCAATGCACATTTGAAATTGGTTTTAAAGTATAAAATGTTGCTTCGAAGTGTTGGAGCGTGGCGAGCTCTTGAGCAACTTGACTACAGCTTGAATATACTTAAAAATAAATATACTGTCAAATTCATTGAAAAGTTCAAAAATATTGTTTATTCAATATAACAACAACTGCTTCAACACCACATGATGTTCGAACATTTGAATCTGCACAACCATAATCGAAAATCAAAATGCTTGAAGTTTTAAACAGATCAAACAATGTTTGACTTTTTGACTATATCATTTCTCAGATATTGGTTTTCGTATGACTGTTTGAATACCAAAAGAAAAACTTTGAACAATACTGAAAAACATTTGTTTCTGGTCTAGTTTCTTGAGCGACGACTTCAATCACTTACAAAATTATTAATGCAATTTAATCATACGTTCTTTTTTATTTTCACCACTAAACCAGTAAGCGTCACCACACCACTTAGAGGGGCTTGCAAGACCTCCTCTTAAATAGCATTATAAGTTTTACCCAAGGTTCTAAATATAATAACACAGTTTTTTTATATACGGTAATACAATGGGCCTATAGGCCTAAGTGGATCTCTTAGGATCGTCGGTACAACCTAAGTAAACCAGTAACAGACTGCTCTATGTCTCAAGAATGTCATTTTATATATAAATTGCTTTTCTAATTTGACATTTTCAATCTAGTCGTGCTTGCTTACAGATACATAGATTTAGCCCACATACTTATAAAAAATGCACGCATGTTTAAGTGCTACATAATAGCACTAAAACTGTGACAATGGAAATTTCGTAATCACAAAAAAATAAAAAACAAGAAGTAGAAATATTGTTTTGCTTAAAAATGTTTAAAGAAATCTTCTGCATAAATATGTTAAACGTTTAAAAAGTTTATATTACATCACTACATTAGACCCCGCCATTAGATTTCAGTGACTATTATAATATCAGCACATATCTCTATAATAATATATATAGGGTTAAATGTGTTGGTTGAAGTAGGTAGATTTCAATATGAAATTAAGAATATAGAACCTCAAATATTGTAATTATATAGTAATTCTTCGCAATCCTGTATTATTAAGAATCTTTTTACAAAAGATATTTAATTTAAGGTATCTAACACTACTGTTCTGAAACTTTTTAGAGAAATAGATAAATTGTAAACGTAAACAGCATCAAAAGGTAAAACTTACCCCCGAATTATCAATTATTTTCTTAAATCGTTTTTTTTTATTTGCGGAATGACTTGTTGACGGAATATCGTCGTTAACAGGTTGCTAAATAAAAGATACAATATAATGTTATTATATAAATGTCAGTTAATGTAAATATGCATGATATGAATATATGAGTAATAATCATTTAACAAAATAAATTACGAAAAATAATAAATAACAGATGACCCCAATACTTACCTTTACCCACCTAAATTTAATCTGATGGTTTACTTTATTAAAACACAAATTTGTATTTTTTTTTTTGATTTTATTTCAAATTTATATATAATACATTTATTTAGATTTTCTAACAACGACGATAATAATTAAATTTTTCATAAAAACATTTAGTAGAAAAAACAGCGCGCATATATGAAAATTGGTAAAAAAGTTAGTCATATCAAATGTATGGAAATATAAAAAGTACTTTTTTTGAATGAACTAAGTTTTAATATTTATATATAATTAATTGAATATTTATTTTATCTATTTCCAGTTTAAGTGACAACATGTAATACACAAAAGGAAATAGCAAAATAATATTTTTTATTAGCAAAGCAATTATTGTTTTTGAACTTTAAACTGTCAAAATTATTTATTTTTCAGTTCTTAATCTATGTTATTTTGAAGGGAATATATGAACGAGGCCATTTCTATTTTGAGAGGTCTTCATAAGATCTCTTCTTTATAAGAGGATTTAAATACTGTTTATATTTGAAATTACACTCTCAATGTAGAGATTTCTTCTTCTATATTTATGCGCGCTGTTTCTTCATATTTATTTTGATATTCCTCAGTTGAAAATATATTTGGTATTTTCAGCAAAGTTTCAAGCACCTAAAAAACAAAAAACATATATTAAAACATTTTTAAATATTTATTAAAATTAATTTAAAAAAAAAGTAGAAACAAACCTTTAAACGCATTAATCTATAGCTTTCATCGTTCATATGGAAATATTCCCGACGTAATAATTGGCTGTAGGATTTATAAACATCAGACGGAGCACTACAAGTACAAAAAAAAAATTGTTAATTATAATATTAAAAAATAAGTATATATAAAAAGGAAGGAAGTATTATAATTCAGGATCTCAAGTAACGAATTCGAGTATAAGATAAAATAATAAAAGTGTAAAGATATAAACTGAAAATGTATGCAAATATTTTTTTTTTTGCTGCTGCTTGGAACTGTTAGTATATTACACGGTAGAAGCTCGAAGAGTTTTTTATTATAGGAAACAGAGAAATAATTATAATATACAAATACATGGGCCTACATCCATATTTTAGATTTAGGTAAGATATAAGCGTGAAAAAGCGAGGTTGTTAAGAGATAAGGAATGAACAAAATGTGGATCCATATCATAATGATAATCCATATGATGATCTTCTGAAATGATCAAACTATATATGGGTGTCAACGACAAAAGATTTCGGAAGGTTGTTATAAACCTTATAAAACACTAAAAGCACACTTAATTTCTGAAGTCACTGTTGAGAGGAATAACCGCCATTTGATCATGTGAAAACACAAATAGCTTCGGAACGTAAACCTGTGAATTTCTGGAACCAAATATGGATTCGTATCTGGTTTGTTAAGTTTGATATTTTCCATAATAAATTAAAATAAATTCATTATGCGAGTTACACAAAAGTTGAATTTGTTGGCGTATTAATTTATCGTGAGACCCCACCAGGGGGTTATGAAAAAGTAGATGTATTAATCAATCAGAACCAACCAGTGCATTTAAAAAAAAATTCGATGATGTCGTTATTAAGTTAAAGCTGGAGTGGCTTCCGTTCGCATAACCACATCTCTTGTTAATGCAAGCAGTTCATTTAGCTTGAGGTGGCCTGCCAAGTCATCACCAACCCAATGGTGTCCTAAGACAGTCTTCCTCCTACTTGTCAGTGCTGGACATTGGCACACTATATACACTACTGTCTCCTTTTCTTCTAGATATAGTTTGCAAGTGTCTTCGAAGATAACAAATTCAAAAATAGATTGTAACCTGTTTTAAACCTGTTTTGTTTTTTTTCATTAAGAAATTAATAACAGTTATTAATTGCTAGCACATCTAACTTAATACTTGCATTTTAACACAAAATCGCTGATCGAAAAGAATTTCCAGGTATATTTCATCATTGCATATCAATTCCGCAATGAGTTCAACACACTTAGTTTGGACAGACTGCAATTCCTTTGGAATGCTCAAAATCCAATTTTCATTTTGACTTTTGACAGATAAAAAAGAGCTTTTAAGTTAGTTGCCAGAAAGCGAAACATCTTTAGGAGATTTTTGTGCTTGAAAAGACTGCGCTAACCTGTAAGATAGTTGCCAGAATTGCACTGTGTGTCTAACCTGTATCGATGTTCAGAATAAAGCTATAGGTTGTTGTAGAATGAATGTCGTAGGGCACTTAAACATATGAAGAAGGTTGATTGAAGTAGGTTAAAATTAATGAAGGTTGGTAATGGTGTTTGGGGGTTTCGGGTTAGGCTAAGGCCCTTATGCACTGCGACCAGTTTGATCTATTGTACACTAATGAACGTTGGTTAAAGGAAGGCTCCACAACACAAGGAGATTGTTAAAACGTCTTATAACACATGAGTAAAAAAATAACTACTATACATATTTGATTATTACAAATTGTTAACATTACTCGAATAGTATCATCAAATTAGTGAAGCATATTGTATAGTTATCAATTTTCGTTTCTAATAAATTATACACATATAATTGAGTAAATCTATTTGTTTTTAATATTTATTTACCAAAAAAAAAACTTACCCTAATATTATTAAGTCCAAGTCCTGTAATATATTAGCATCATCCTCAATGCTAGCATCTAATTCACATTCAATTGCCTTATCGCCTAAAAGCTTTAAAACGTGTGCTTTTGAAGTTTCCTAAAAATATTTTTTTAAAAAACAAAGCTTATAATTATAAAATGTATAGGTACTCACGTCCTCCAACATGGCATCGGTGCAGAAGTCCTTAAATGCAGCACAGTTTTCTCTGACACAACTACGATTACCATCATATGCAAAATATTGGAAGAATGCAGCTAAAACAATATTTGGCTTACAGGATTCGAGGTGCTCCTCCTTTCGCAGCATCATTTCATTCCAATTGTGATAGGCGCGAGTAGGTTGGATTTGATTTAAACGTTCCCGAATACGTGTATACCATGTTTTAGCCACATCTTCTGGTACATCGTAATGTGTGCATGCTCTATGCCAAATACTTTCCATTTGTTAAGTTTTTACTTGATATTATACACTTTTTTTCTTTTTCTTTTTTTCCTATTTGATACTATTTTTTTAGAACTTTTTTTTTTATAAATAACGAATAATGTACATGAAATGAACCGTTTTTATAAATTTATGAAACGAAATATGAATGCAGAAAGTTGCTTTCGTGCTTACACGGTGATGATTTAATAAGAGCAAATGAAAAATATTTTTAATACATTTCGATTAACACTAGTGTTCTTGAAATTTGGGGGTGGTTATTATTGCAATGTCCTTCTACTATGTAGGGCAAAGGATTGCCAAGTGTCTATAGAATGTTCTCTTTGAAAATTCTAAATTGAAGTATGTATTTTTTTTCTATATTGTGTAATATTAATATTAAAATAAATCTTTATTCAACATTATTTTTAATAGTTTTTATTATTATATTATCATAATATCATATATTCTAATATAAAAAATCTAATAAGTTTGTTGAGTATGCATTGGTAATGATAAGAATTTCTAGTTTGTTAATAAAATGTGTAATATGCTTTCTAGACTTATAACATTAACATTGTTACATGGATTTTAGAGAATTTTGTAATGAAAATGTCGCTCATTGGTACACATATGTTGTGTTAACTGCGTTAGTGTAAACGTATTGTTAATTTATTAAAATTTAATTTAATCGAGCTTAACGTCGGTTAATTTGTTATTAATAATATTATTTTTAAGCAACACTTACTAAGTTATTGTTAGAAAATATATACATTTAACAAAAAAAAAATAAAATAAAAATAAATAATTAATTTACAATTAATGGTTATTGAAAACTATTTGTATAAAATTATGTTACAAATTCAAAATTCACCGATCTATTTTTTCTCTCTCCTTATATGCAAATATAGAGAATAATTGATAACAAATAATTGATAATTATCTGACGATGTTTTCAATTGATTAATCTAACTTAACTTAGTTTAACCCATGATATACATTTTTACCCCTTTTAAAAATTTAAGTATAATTTGATTTGTTTTATAGAAATCATTTAAATAATCATGAAAGACTCAAGTGTAAATCTAAATTAAATTTGTTGTCAAAAATATAAAGGTAGTATTGCTTAGTAAATAATATGCATATACATCAAAAGTACCAACTATAAATAAATTTATATATTTCAGAATAAACGCTAAACCACAATATTAACCACACCTTCACATTATACCAGAGATAAACTATAAATCTCATTATACAGTAATGTTATAAACAATAAAATTTATTTAGAAAGAAGAAAATTTGGTTAGGTCGTGTGCGAGTAAATTGAGGTAAGGTAAATTGAAATATTATAGGAATGTTTTGCACTGCACTTATGTTAATATGTATTTATTGCATTTATTTATTATTTTTGTTTAAAACTTTTCAAATTAATTTATTAAACATCTTATAAAATTTTCACAATGGTAATACCTAATTTTTATCTAATTTACCTTACTCGTAATTCTGGTAAATACCAACATTCACTGTCATACCGACATAATTTACTATTTCCCTCAATTTATCATCAATTTACTCAAACTCGCACACGGCTTTATTATTTATTTAAAATTTAAAGTATATGCTTTTTTGGACCTTTACCATTAATTAATTCTTTATAAACTAAAATTTCGTTTATTACGATTTTTGTTAAAAGGAAAATCTTTATTTAACCTAATCAATCAAGTATGCATTAAATTATTAAAAATAGTTATTCTAAAAATTTCAATAATAAAATTTTGCATATTTGGCAACTCTAACCTATCTCAATGCCAGCTCCCCCTTTTCCAAAAGTAAAAATAAAGTTTCATAACATGAAAAGTTACGTATTTTACATGTAAAACGGCACATGCGCCATTTCACTGTATTTTCAGCACAAACACGGAAATAAATATAAACATCATATATTTTCGAAGTGCAACTTACCTTATCCCTGTTATTTAACCCAATCAAGACTGATCTACCAGCAGCCATAGGCTTTCTTCTTTGAGCTATTTGCTCAATTCCAGACACATTTAATGAATTTTTTAGGACTCGGTCAATGTTTTTAAAATAACGTGACTTATTGCGCTTCTTAAATTTTCTTTTACGAATTGTCGATTCGTTGCTTTTTTTGTTTTTACCCATATTGATGTTTTTCTTATTAAATGCTATAAATTAAACAATTTGTTTAATTCTAACTTTAGCACCAACAACTTTTGCTACAACTCAAATCAAAGAAATAATGGAGGACTCTGACAGTTCGATATTTATAAGTTGGTATCACTGCAATAAAGCAATTTCATACTTCTTTATACTAAAAGGGTTGCCTAATAAATATTATATATACAAAAAAATTTTTTTTTAAATCATGTGAGTACATATATATACATATATTTATTATATATTATATATATTTGCAACACATTTTTAAATATTTTAAAAGCAGTTTTTTTCTCTACTTTAGTAGTAATTTTTATTGAAGATATGTGTAGTTCTTGTTGTTGCTGTTGCTTAAATCCGCCGTGAAGTTCTTTTATTTTTTTTTAAAGCGGAAAAAACAATTGTTGGAAAATGAGATGAAATAAAACATTATGATCTGTTTTGAGATTAAATCTGCATGTGTACAGGCACAACTGAAAAAATGAAGAACCTCATGTGGTGTAATGTTTCAGTTAGGTCAATGTGGTAAGAATTGTGATAATTATTGCTATTGAACGCAATACTATACCCTAAACCTTTTGTGGAAAACCTTTTTTATATGATAATTCTAAAGCATTAGAAATATTTACTTGTTGGACTTATACCATACACAGATGTTGTTATATATTTATCTAATTATTTATACTTATATTATTTATCTAATTATTTTATGTAAGAGCAAAAAAGGGGCTTCGAAAAAAAATTTCTTTTAATATAGGCCAGTTTAAATATAGTCGAAGAAAAGATCGGTACATTAAAATCGTAGCAACTAGTAACACTCTTTAAAGAAATGTGGTCACACGTGCCAGTGTAGAAAATAATAGCGTGTCGCACGCAAACCATTGGTTCCCACACCCCCTTTGTTTATTAAAATAAATTGGTTTAAACAGTTATACTGTACTATGTAATGGTTGAGTATAGTGTAATAATAAATGGGCTACTCATGTAGTATACACATTATTTCATATAGCTTTTAATTGATGACGATTTAAGAGATAGTGAAATTAAAATAATGCATATATGTAACTAAAAAAAATTAGGTATAAAATAAAATTCTTAGAGTTTTCATTATGGCAACTATGAAAAACATTTATAGTTTACGAGTTATCTTACTTATATGTTTTAGTATTTATTTTTTAATTATTATTATTGGATTTTCAATTCTTTCTTGTTTAGAAAATAGCTATAAGTTGAAAAAATATGAAAAACTATTCCCTTTTATTGCATAAATTACAATTTATTCAAAATAAATTGTAAATAACAGAATTCTATAAAAAAAAATAAAAAAAAATTCTAAAGTTCAAGTTATTCCAATAACACTTTTTATAGTAAATTTATTATGACTACTAAACTCGTCGCAGAGTCTATTGTTGTATAAAAGTGTACCCATTATCCCAGTCTTCCAAAAAACTAATTGACTACTAAATTCGTCGCAGAGTCTATTGTTGCATAAAAGTGTACTCATTATCCCAGTCTTCTAAAAAACTGTTTACTCGGTAAAAAAAACTGGTTATTCGTTATCTATTCTAGATTAAGCTAAAAACAAATATATTTAAAGACTAAAATTATTAAATAAGATATTAATGGAAAAAAAAAATAAAAGTTCATATTTCAATTCATTAAGAACAATTTTATCAAAAGCAGGGTTCAATGTTACTATGACAAAAAAAAATATTGAATCTGGGTTAAGATATTATGATCAATAATAATTGCCGTAATAGTTTCAAGGGCAACTCTAATATATATAAAGAGATATTAGACTCTTTTCGATATATTTATTTTGGAAATGTTTTATAACGATACTACAATTAACGTAAAAAATTATATTTCTTTATAATTCATTATTGGAAGTCGAAGGCTCATTTATATAAAATAATTCAGGAATAATTATATAGAGTGCATACTTAATAAGAATAGAAGAAATATTTTGTACTTATACGAAATCTAAACCTGGATTTTTAGAGGTAATCGTCAGTAAGCTTGATTTGAATCAAAAATGAGCTTGCAGTCACTTGGATCTTTAGTGCTAAATACTTACCCAAAAATCTACAAAGATACTTTTTATACAATTCATTCTTATGAACCCAAAGCTTAAATAAATACAAACTGTATCGCTAATCCCTGCTAGAATAATAGCAACACAAGTAATATTACCAATTTAAATTAAAACTCATACTACTATCTTAATTACTTATTTAAACCTAAAAATCAAACTAATACGCCAACGAAAAAGTAAAACAAAATAAAATAGAACATTTTTAGCTTACCACTCCTATAATATTATTGCATAAAAATGTTTTGACCAGTTCCACAATAAACACTTCAGATTCCCACTGTGCGAACTGCAGCAACAACAAAAACTATCAGTAAAATTAATATTATTTTATTAAAAATAATATATGTTTAATTAGTGGACAGATGTTTACTTTGTTAAGTAATTTCACAGTTGTAATTTGACTATTATATAAGCACAAAAATGAATACATAAATTTAATACACATACGAGTAATGTAACTTCTCACTCCACTTTATTTTCACTTCACTATGATGTAAATAATTATTACAGTGGCCTAATTTTAACTAGTGCCTAGTTTTGATAAATATTTTAAAGATATCTAACATATACTTGATATTTTAACTTCAAGCACAATTAGGAGTTTCACTAACTTATTTTAAGCGCGTTCTGTTGCAAAAAAAATATTTTACACAGCTGCAGCAAACGTAAGTAGGTTAATGGTAAATAATTTGATAACTCGATATTTCTGTTGTCAGCACTGTATGACAGAGTTTTCAAAAAGTGCTACCACATTGACAAATTGCTTAATATTGCTGATTTATTAATACGAACTGAATTCTTTCAATAAACAACAACATTTTTTTTTTCAACAACAAAAAAAAAGAGGTTTATTAATATGTCTTATTTATTATTTAATAAATAATAAAAATAATAATAAATAATTCATTATTTTTAAAGTTTAAAATAAATGTCACTATGTAAAAAATACACACATCGAATAAAAATCTCTTTCTATTTCTACAAAATAAATTTGTTTCGAAATGATCGTTTCCTCAACTATGAAAAAAATTCTGCAAGCATGCAAACGAAAAACTTATTTATGACCGCAATTTACACTTTCTTGTAAAATGCTAACCCTCTAATATTAATGAATGTATTTAATAGCTGTCAGTGAAGAAATTTGTATTTATACTGAATAAATTCAGTAATTAGAAATAAATAAGTAAGAAAAATACATCACATATTATTATATTACGAACATTTTATATATTAAATTTTATATTATAAATTTTTTTATTTTTTTATAATTTTTTCAGTTTCTATAAAAAAAAATTCAAAATTTTCCTATCGTTGAAAAATTCTTTATTAATCTTCGAGTTCAAACTTTTGCATCTTGCTTGTAATAATGGACGTTTTCGGTGTTTCACATGTGTGGCAAAACACGCATGCTGGCTTATTATCGTAAGGGCCATGTTATGCAGAGTGTCTCGAGCACGGCATGAGTACAATTGTTGTTGTTTTCAATGCAAATTTTAAATTTGAGAATGAGAAAAAATACAATATGGCCGGTCAAAGTCCGGCATGAGAGCCGGAGTATATGTGCCCACGGTTGCCACTTGAAAATTTTTTTCTGTACCAAAATTGGTTTAAAAAGGTACCATTTTTGTAAAAAAAGGTACAAAATTTTTTTGGACCTTTTTGTTTTCTCGTTCTGTGTTTTTCATAGTGTTATAAATGGACAAAATATAAAATAGTGCAAAGTTGAATTTATAAAAAAAATTAATTGGAAATATCCACAATAAAGTTGGGTCGTCAAAAATGTACCATTTTTTGAACATGAGTACCAAACGAAAAAAAAAGTACCAATTTTGGTACTAAAGTACCATAAGTGGCAACCGTGTTTGTGCCCCGGTACTAAAGCAAAACAGTGCTGTTTAGTAATAAATTTAAAAATTTGCGCATTTTAGGAGCAAATTGCTACAATTCTAATACGCTTTGGAGAAAAAATGGCAGTAAGCAACACAACCTTTTTTTATAAATTGTTAATAATATAATTATTACACTTTCCAGTTTTAAAGAAAGGCGTAAATACTATTAAGTACTGTTAATAATTATTGTAAGATAATGTAATAATAAACTAATATTATTACGGCCTCTATGAGATTTTTCTTGCTAGTTATTTTTGGTGGCAAATTGAAAATGAGCATATCTAAATTTTCTTTTAAATATAGGCATAACCAAAAAGTATCAAAACATTGTAAAAACACGAAATTAGCAATACTGATGTGACACTCTGCATAACATGCATTTTCATGCGGAGACACTCTGCATAACATGGCCCTAAGCGAGAATTGTCATCACTGTTGCAATCTGTCAAGCGTTATGTTTTAGCTAATTACAAATCTTTCACATGTGCACATAATGGAAGCATATTAAATTTGTATAAAAATAAATAGTTAATATAAAATTCTAAATTAAAATGAATACAGAATTGAAAGTAATGGTAAAAATGATGGAATTTTCAATATAAAATCTCATTTTATTCCCAATTTTCAAATTTATGGAATTTTTAAATTTAGCTTGAATTTTTGTTTACAGATCATTTTTAACTTATGATTGCAATATTCATTGGAATTTCCAATGAACGTTTACAATAGTTCACTTATTGCGTTGGTAACACTTTTTCTTGAATGGCCGAAGTGAAGTAAACGACTACTGGCCTGGATAGAGAAAATAGTGTTTTGCATACATTTCAGCCAGTATAGGCCAGCAGGTTGCTGTTTTTTACTACCGTGCGAGCCACAGAAAACACCTAATATAAAATTATATTTAACCTTGCACAACATTTCCTATATATTTAAAAAATTTATTGCAAAATTCACAGTAAAAAAAATTTGACAAAAGTTTTTAATTTTTAACAGAAAAGCAAAATCAATATGTAAGCAAGGTTTTGAGTACACTTCATTGCGACTCCCAGGTGCGCAATCTCTAGAATGATTGGATTAATGATTAGGTTATAATTCATTGTAGAATGATTGAAATGTGTATGAAAAATATATGGTTCTTATTGTAGCATAATGTGGTTATGCTTTGAGATATCATTTTTCTGTCAGTTGACTGGATATAGAACGGTTTATTGAAGCTACATTAAAGTCATTACGAAGTTCCGTTTTAATGTAATTATTTTTTAGCGGAACATTAATGTTAAACAATATTTCCAAGCACATTTTTCGAAAGATTTTTTGTTGAATTGATATAATTCGCTTGATATTTATTTTGAATGACAAAATTGTCAATCTTAAGCCAATTTACATTAGACCTGCTATCAAATGAGGTCTAATGCTAATGTAGAAGTGTACCAATTTCAAAAACTACATACTTACAGGTATATTTTGAATTAAGGTAAATATACTAAATGCTATTTAAGATGAAGCAATGTTATAATATTTAAATATGAGGCCGTGTGAGTAAATTAAAATTTCCAAGGAATTTTTTGCATTGCGCTTATGTAAATATTTATTTGTTAATTTATTACACTTATTTATTATTTTTGGTTAAAAGTTTTTAAATTTATTTACTAAACATCTTATAAAATTTTCAGTGGTAACATTTAATTTACCTAATCTTTATCTAATTTACCCTACTTGAAATTCTGATAAATACCAACATTCGCTGCTATATCGACATAATTTACTATTTTCCTCAATTTAACATCAATTTACTCGAACTCGCCCACGTCCTGAATAAAATATTTTGATAACTTTGAAATTATTTAATTATGACTTCATTAGAGTAGTTGGCATCACTATTAATTATCCGCTGTATTGTCACAGCTGTCAAAACAGTAATCAAAACAACATGATAAATAATAAAAATTTGCTGATTAGATAGTTGCTCTTGAGATTTTCTCAGAAGTTATACGCAAAAAGGTAAGAAGAGAATTGATAAAACTCTCTGTAACTGATATTGCAATTGTATAAACAACCAAACACTATACAAAATATTAAATTGCCAATTCAGATAGAGAAGTTCTACGAAAAGATCTTATTAAGAAAAGGCAGTGACGAAGAGCTACAAAATTTGCTATCAATTTTCGCATTGTTGGTCTGTCAAAGATAATAGCAACAAGTGTATTACAAAATATTTAAAGCGTTAATTGATTTAACAGTAAATAAGAAAATCGTAAGATGCATTATATTATTAAATAATGATAATTTATTAATTTATTTGTGTGAATTTATTTAAAAACCAGTGGATACTTTTGACGACGACGTATTCGACAACATGGACATTTGGGGAATTTTTATGTTTTGCCTGCTAGTGTTCTTGATAATGAGTTGCTGCGGTTATTGCTGCTCCTCAAAAAGACGTGGTACTATTCTATCAAGTAAGTCCAAATCCAATAGCTATACTCTAACTTTATATAAAAATATCAGCTCCAAACAAGAGCTTGGGTTACATCCAATGACAGCAGATCAATTGTCGTTAGTGAAGTGCACGTGCCAAACCCTTGTACGCGAAAATATATATTTCAATAAAGATTATTAATTTCAGGTATATTTATGCATATATATGACAGTATGTACATATTTTATGCATAATTGAGGGGTAGAGTTTTTTATTTTCAGCATTTGCGCAAACTATTTGATTTGAAAACTCTTGATTACTTTATGACGCATTCAGATTAGCGCGTATTGACACTTTGAATTCATATTTTGTTAGCAAAGTTGCTGACTGTATTTGTTAACATGATTTATAGTCCTTTTGTATTTAAGATAATTATAAGAAATTATTAAGCTATTTATTGCTATAATCTATATTACCCGCATTTCATAACCTTTTTGCTTTCTAATCAAATTAATTTAATTAAGAAAATGTTGTGAAATAGTGCTTTTTAATTTATTAGAAAAAAATAAATGATTTTATTATAAAATTTTATTTAAATTTCGCAAAATATTGTCTGAAATATTTTTTATTAATAATTCTACATAAATCTGTATTCATAGAAAACAGTTTATGTCAGCTCTATTCGCAGATAAATTATGAAAAGTAAAACCATGCAAAAATATTTCTAGATTTTATTTCCTGTTGCTTCTTAAAAAAATATGTTTAGCTTTTATAAAAATTGTTTATGTTTATTTATTCTTATTTGTTGTCTATTCTTTATGAAAAGCACTCAACGCAAATGCGCTCATATTACTGAAAAGCAGAGCCTAAGTTTATTACTCTAAGATTTGCTATCAAGACTGGTTTCAACTAGTTTCACTTACACATTAAAATGAAGGAGTGTTAAAAAACTAATTATTTTGAATTTTTTTAAAATATATTAATTTTATCGCCAGTATTTACTTTATCCGTTTCATAATACTCTGAATTCCAATTGGAAAAATACTGCTGAAATGCATTTTTAAGTATTTTATTCAGTTTTCGCCGCGTTTTCGCATTGGTATTATCCATATGTACCATGTTGTTATTGTTTTTGTTGTTGTTGTTATGAACTGCAGGAATCCATAAAGCAGATAACATAAAACGGATTACAAGTATGTATATATGGGTTAGGATATGAAGAGGTAATAATATAAAAGGGAAAAGGATTGTTTAGAAGTAAGAATGTGTGGCTGATGGATGGAATTTAAATTGAATTTAGACGGGATCAAGGGGAAGAAGTCTAGCCAATTTAGATTTCAAGCACGGCCTTGTCTACGTTTTGATAGCAATCGTCGGGTTCTACGATCAAGTGTATGCGATAAATCCTTTATATTATCTACGTTGTCGTTCCCATACCCCTTTGAGTCGTGGAAAAAAAAAGGTAGTGCAATGTATTGACAATATATAGTGCTTGCGGCATTGGAATGATTTTATGATTCATCATGTTTTCTTGAATAAGTATTAATTTTTCCAAACCAATTTTGCTTCTCAAATTATCTTCAATGAAAGCGTTTTTAATTTTCCTGTAAACTTTTTGGTTTGATATTTTGCTGCAATATAAATTGCAAATCAAATTAATGTGTGTCTTGCTTACTCGCTTAGTAAACACAAACTAAGCAGTGCAACTGGCAATATGCGTATGCTGCCAATACAAAGGCCTTTCTTTCTGCGATACGTGGAAAACATGAACAGGCACAGTGTGACACTGAAACCATAATTCATTCATCTTAGGAATGACTAAAGAAGATTTACATCACTGAGTAATTAAGGAAGAGACTTGAAATAATGAGGTTTAATACTTAGGTCTATCTTAGGTCTATCTAAGCCAAAAAGCAGGGCCGTCACTGGAATCACCAAAGCCCCATGATTATAAAGTGGGGTGATGAAAACATCTGAATTCCTTATATCATAGTATAAAGTGAGGAACAGGGGTGACTTGTGACGCATACCTAATAAGTCAGAGGAATGGGTGCTAGGGATATAAAAGAAAAGTCAGGATTTGCTTGCTACCTTACAACGCTTGCAATTTCTATATTCTTTATACATTTTGATATCACTTGATCGTTTAAAAATGGTTTGCCTTTCTATGGTCACATTTTCTTGTGATATATAGAGTAGTTATATTTTTAATAATTCAATTATTTTTGTAATTTATATACATATACATATATATACAAGAGAAAATATGTTAATTTTTTTAAACTCAATTTTATGATATTATATTGCATTAACTTCATAGAGTTTAAATCTCTTCTCACGACAGGCTGTCGTTAGTATCTATTTCTATGATTAAATTGTGGGCGTTAACATTTTAAGTATTATCAATAATTCTGTGATTTATTAATATATTAAAACACATATCACTAATATTGGTCTTCTTTTTTAATGGCTATCTTTGGACAAACTTTCGGAACACTTTTGCTGACTTGACAGAACTGACATCCTGTAATATTGGGAACTTGGTCAAGTCTATAAACTTGACCAAGTTTCCAATATTCACTCTTACTTAAAGAGGTCATGCCTTTAAGCCATGTCTTTACGCTGTCCATTGCGGTCCTTCCGGGGTCTTTCTGGTCTATATATTCGCACTACGTTAACCTGTGGTAATATAATGAGTTATCATTGAAGCTCAAGTTGGCTTTGCTACATACGTCTGTCACTACAATATAAACAAACCTAAATCATTTATACATAACTTTATACTTATAACTACAAAAAATTTAAATTAATTTAATTTAAGGCTTAACTAATATAAAAAGTTACTTTTTACTGTTATTGATTAAGTTCTTTTTTTGACCAAGGACCACTTGTTTTTAGTAGGGACCACGAAGTTTTAAAATAATAAACTGTATGATTATTTCTGGTATAATGTATAATGAATTGTATAAGTATATAGGTACATTGTATAGGTTTCAAAATAGGTATATAATTTTTTGGAAATTTTTTTTGCTTATTTTCTAATAAGTGAGGTTTCAATGGACAAACTACAAACTATGTTTCCATATCTGTTGAAGTTGATTCACGGACCATTTTTAACAATCTCGCGGAACACTTATGAGTTGGGAACCACTGGTATAAAGGATGCATCAAGTGTACATTTTTCGGGAATCTTACTCAATATCTTTGGCAGTAAATGTTTTAAAATATAAATCCGTCACTATTTCGGGGCTGTTTGAAATTTTATAATTAGTTCCACTAGGACCTATGGCAAATTTTCGTTAAGAGTTAAATAATGTATGCATCAATGTGTATCATACAGATAAAATTTTATATATTATATTAATAAATCAATCATTTCTTATGATTGATTTATGTTCCTTTTTTATATTAACACCTTATTAATATTTTTTGCTACATAATTTACCTCTTATCATGCTCCATTTTCTTGTAATCGTCTTTAGAATCAAGATATCTATTACTTTTTTCGCCAAGAACGCACTAATTCGTCAAAGCGCTCCAATAAAAATAAGTAAAAATTTGCTAAGAAAATTCTTGTTTTTACATTTATAAAAACATTTAAGATTTTTAAATAACTAAATACTTATATATAAATAATATATATATTAATCTATAAGTTATAGACAGTAGACCAAAAAAGCATTATAGGCATTAATAACATTATTATTTATATTTAAAGGTGTACTAGTTTTGTGTACTATTATTGACAAGTAATATATAAAACACAACTGTAAAATAGATAAGTAAGCATTGCAGATTTCTTAGTAAACTATTTGGATATCTGAAAACAAAAACATTCAAGAAATTTGGAAATTTCTACTCTATTTTTGACAACCCAGTCTTAATAAGATGATATTTGATCTTACCAACTATTTAGTTAACTTTTGTTAATATAGGGTCGTACATAGGGTCTAAATAAGATGATATTTGATTGAACCAATTATTTAGTTAACTTATGTTATTATGAAGATCTAGAGTCTCACATAGATCTATGGGATATTTGCAGTACCGTATAAAACTCCGAAGGTTTCAAACAATTTTAAGGCATTAAGAAGATAAGGTTAGTTGGTCTTTTATACGAGGTATTGACAGATTGGAGGATTCTTCAAAGAGTAGCTCACTATCTCTGGCTATTGTTTCATAGAATTGGAATATAGTGAGAGTCGTGAACTACTTTTGTGAAAACCTGTTCCTTAACCGTGCGTTAGGCTTTACAGTTATTGTACCAGTAGTTCTTGGATAATAATGCACCTCGCTACAAATCTATTATAATGTTTTATAATAATCTTTTATATGTTGTAGTTAACGTTAAATACTGTTTTAGATGTTGTAACATAACTTCCAAAAAAAAAGTTTCTTTTACAACCTATATAAAATAATTAAATAATATATATTCCAACATATCACAATCAGTTTAGTATATTGTACATATGTATAGATACTTTTTTTTATTTAATTTTGTATCTATTTATCTTATCAGTTGGCTTAAATATTTACAAAAATAATGTGCTACTGGATGATAATATAAATAAAATTAAATATCCATATACATTGAATCAGTTGATCGATCTATTATGAAAGTATCGAAACGTTTGTTATTTCACTCAAACATTTATACCATATACTTTATGAGCATTTTAATTTAAATTTAATATTCAATACTCAGTTTACGAATACTTTTCATACGGTTAACATTCCGGTTCCCTTATAGTCAAAAATGGTTTATATATATTTCGATGTTTGGTTTCCGATTTTGATGGTTTTATTTGTGCTTATTGTAGTTTTAATATCAATGAGAATTCGTCGAAGACGTTTAGAAATGGCTGCAGCTTGTGTGACGATTGATAATGGTGAGTAGTTGGTTTTAGTAAATGGCTTTGAGGACTTGTGGAACTAATAACTGTAATAAAGCTGGATCTTTACCACACATACACCTCAGGGTTCTTAGCTATAGAAGAGAGAGTTACATGTCTATAAAAACTTTATAGTAGATAATTTTGC